TGTCAATTGTTGGAGGGGTGGTCATTTTCATTAATCATATTACTGTAATATCTAAAGATATAAGCCACAAATTACAATAGAGGCATAAAATATGGACAATATCCAATTAACATTCTAATCAAATATGAATACCATGGATTGAGCGACAAATGCCGCCCAAATAACTTATTTTCTTATTTCTGCACCTTTCATGAGTTCTTCAAGCAACACTACACATCTATAATGACAATTTAATTTGAGTTCTCTGGGCACTGTGGTTTCTCAGACAAAAATTCTTAAAGATTTTGTTTGTAATTTACCTTCCAAGTTTGTAATTTACCAATTTGACATATTGTACTGGCATGAAGAAATCTAAATCTTATTGTGTTGATGCTACACATCACTGTTTCATATTCCGTGAGCTTGTGGTCTCAGAGTACAGTAATTAAATGATTTCTTTAAAAAACACAGGGCAGAGCAAATGGTACTCACCTCAGTTCTGAAAAACAGTAGAAGAAATGTGAACATAAAGTCGGTCAAACTATCACATATTTTATGCTCTAGATCATAACTAACGTACCCATTAAATAGTCTGGGATAGCACTACATATCTATCTATCATCATGACATTACAGACAAGCGAATGTTTATTTTCCAAGTAGGCCAAGTATCACAGAATTTGGTTAAGAGGCAGACAGCTTAATTTCTCTTATTAATCATATTACTGTAATATCTAAAGATATAAGCCACAAATTACAATAGAGGCATAAAAATATGGACAACATCCAATTAACATTCTAATCAAATATGAATACCATGGATTGAGCGACAAATGCCGCCCAAATAACTTATTTTCTTATTTCTGCACCTTTCATGAGTTCTTCAAGCAACACTACACATCTATAATGACAATTTAATTTGAGTTCTCTGGGCACTGTGGTTTCTCAGACAAAAATTCTTAAAGATTTTGTTTGTAATTTACCTTCCAAGTTTGTAATTTACCAATTTGACATATTGTACTGGCATGAAGAAATCTAAATCTTATTGTGTTGATGCTACACATCACTGTTTCATATTCCGTGAGCTTGTGGTCTCAGAGTACAGTAATTAAATGATTTCTTTAAAAAACACAGGGCAGAGCAAATGGTACTCACCTCAGTTCTGAAAAACAGTAGAAGAAATGTGAATATAAAGTCGGTCAAACTATCACATATTTTATGCTCTAGATCATAACTAACGTACCCATTAAATAGTCTGGGATAGCACTACATATCTATCTATCATCATGACATTACAGACAAGCGAATGTTTATTTTCCAAGTAGGCCAAGTATCACAGAATTTGGTTAAGAGGCAGACAGCTTAATTTCTCTTTCTTTCAGAAGAGCAAAAACGTCCCCCCAAAAAACCTTGAGTGTCTTTAATTGTTTAGAATGGAGTGAATACAAAGAAATGAGAATATGGATATTCTTCACTGTGCAGGGTGCGTTAAGTAAAAGTTATTATTGTACAGAACTTAACAAAAGAGGTATCTTTCTTTGCCTAAACGAAACGTGTCAAATTCAATATTAGCTTCTGAAAATCTATTTTCTAAAAAATATAACAAGGCCTAATATATATATATATATATATATATATATATATATATATATCACGGTCGACAGTAGTCGATAATGATAATACGAACGTTTCATGATTGTGTCCAGATCTACCAATTATTTTTTAGGTAGATGGAATGTTTTACACTCATCCTGCTCTCGACATACAATATCCGTTGATAGCTGGCCTAACTATATGGACCCTGACCTTCACGTTTTCGCAACGACCCAAAGAACTGTAGATATATAAGATTATAGATGGAACAGTAATATGGAGACTTGTTTAAACCACGTAAGCACATCGTCAAATAGTTTCAGTAGGCCTTACTTCTAGATTGCACACGCTACCCAGCCCATGTTCTGCATACGAAAGTGATGCCATAAAGAAACGATTACCAATATGCACATACAAATTCCTACTTGTTATGACCCAGTCATGATTAGTAACTATGGTGAAGTAAAGAAACTACAGAACCTGCTGTGTGTTGCTTGCCTCAATATGGAGTGCCTTGGATAATTATAAGAATTATGGTGTTGCCTAATATGGTCATGCTCTTTCACGTAGTTACCACGCGTTAGCTGGTGATAGCAGTACATATTCGTCTCCAGAGACGTAGAGACCGTCGCCAGAGACGTAGAGACCGTCTTTGTAATGGTAGCAGTTCACAGTAGGTAACAAATCTGTGCTAGTAGTAGGTAACAAATCTGTGCTAGTAGTAGGTAATATTTCCTGGATCGGGTGCACCCCATCGTGCGTGTCCGGAGTATTTCATCAGGTAAAGAAAGTAGGAACACATATTAACAATACTTCTATTTCTAGTAACTTGGAGGCATTAGAATAATGTTAAGCAGGATATTTTGTAGTCTATTAATTAATTAATTTTGTAGTCTATTAATCAATTAATTTTGTATGGCCTAAAGTAGCGAATGTGATATCGTATTAAAAAAAAACATCGGACAATCTCATTTTAGCCGAATGCTACAAATTGGTCTTTGAGAATTTTTGTTTTATTGAATATTCTGGCCGTGTATAATATTGCCTCATGGAGAAACTCACTGACCCGTGATTATTTCTGTAAGTGACAGGGTCGCCGCGAATATCTGCAGTACTGCTGATGCGGCTTTAAGCAATTATTGCTCTCTCACTTACGGTGATAGTTTGTTTCCAGCTTCCGGATACTTTAATGTGTTCACTATCAATGGACATTCATGTACAGAATATTTCTTTTGTTAAATTATATTGAGCATGTTTAGGGTTTTTTCAATTAAAGGACATAGGAAACTGTAACAAAGGGAGATGACTCAGACTTTGTGTATGTAAAGTACAGAACATTTTCAAGCGGAAGCCAGACATAAGTTTTCTAAATGCTACTTGGAGAATGAAGGGCATGAAAGAAGCATGACCAAAGGACTACTAACGTCTGCATGCACCTTTACCTTATGATATTACGCATACGCATACGCGTCTAAAACGCGAGAACGCAAAAAAATTTAAATGTCGCATTCTCGCGTTCTCGCGATTTTGTGTTTTTGTGGCCTAATTTGACAAGTCGAGATTGCCAGACTGAGAGATTTTACATCAAGTCGAAATGTCGCATTCTCGCGTTGTTGACTTTTGACAAAACGTGCTATGTACCAAAAACACGAGAATGCGAGATCGCGAGAACGCCTGATTTTTGCCAAATCTCGCGTTCTCGCGATCTCGCATTCTCGTGTTTTGTTTTGCCAAATCTCGCGTTCTCGTGATCTCGCATTCTCGTGTTTTGGGCATATTTTAGGTCGAGATCGTGGCCTTACAGTATTCCATACACCAGATACATAAACATGTATTCAACTGACTCATAAATTGATTTGATTTGGAACATAGCGACCGCTAGGGATAACATGGTTAAATATGCATTAAATAGTGGTGTACTCTTGTATTCACGCCGGACACTACTTGTCCAAAACAATGTCTTGACATGCTGAGAAGACTGGACGAACGTAGAATTACATGGGCCTCAAACGTTTATTAATTAGTGACTGTCTATTTTATATGGCTTTACTTGTGTGTGGAATCATCCAGAGTGTCGGAAATATTGGTTTATTTCTTCTTGAATTTTAACAAAGTTAAGTGAGCTCTCAAATTTAGATTTTTATTCCACTGTAAATTCAGCTTTCACAATTGAACCACACTTGCTTCATGTTCATGCAAGAGACCAAAGATTAAGATTTTTAACATTATTAAGAATGGGAGAATTACAAATTATAAGAAATATAGGTAGGTGGATGGGTGTTGCTACGAACCTAAGGTCATGTCCTTTTTGTAAAACATATTATAGAAGATAGGTTACATTTTATGTAAGTATGCCCAATTTGTGATATATATTTTTCCAACACTAATTTAAAAAATTAATATTCACTCAGATATTTACTGCTTACTCCTAACATTGAAACCTTGTCATTATGCCTTATCATTATTTTAATTCTAATTGTACTTTAACTGCCCTTTTCTCATCTTGTCATTGCGCCGCCATTTGGAATATAATCCTTGTATCTGTACTGAACTTGAACCGCTACCGTGGTCTAGTGGTAGAGCGCCCGCCCGGAGAGTGGAAGGTCCTGTGTTCGAACCCCGGCCGCGTCATATCAAAAGACGTTAAGAGATAGTAGGTGCTCTTACCCTGTATACCGCTGGGCATTAAGAGGCTAAAACAAGGATGGTCGGCTCGGAGTCACTACACTGTCGCTGATTGGGGTATTCATGTTAAACTGCGGCATGGTATCTCAGTGGACTAGCACTATTACTCGGCATAAGTCTGGACTAGTACAAGCACGCGCATGCACGTCGCTACATAAGTGCAAAAATCTTGGACGCGACGTTAAACCCCTCACCTCACCACCTATCTTTACCGTATACTTGGGCATGTGGCCTTTATCCTGAATAAACTGAAATAAACATGGTTCTATGTTCAGCGTTAAATCGCACGTTAATAAGCTGCATCACACACAAAAAAACTATATGTTTGTCCCTCGTGGTTGTAAGAGAAGAGAAACATATGGTGTAGATGCATTCAAAGACATCTATATGCACCGATGGGAATGTCAGTCGGTAACCTAATCTCTTAGTAGTGCACGCTGCAGCGAGACTAAGCAACACTATCACCAAGAACACACAGCAAGTAACCAGTCTCTCAACATAACCACAGCGACAGCAGATAATGAATATAGACATCCACGTTTAGGGCCAGGGATAAACAAGACCATAGTAAGAATGTGTAATGTTGTTTCTCTTTCGGCGCAGCGCATTCACAGAACCTCCGAACCTCAGCATTCTTGGTAAACGTCTGTCAGCGTATGTGGCACCGGAGGAGGAGGCAGTAAGTTGCTTTCATCTTCGCCCCTACTGTGAAGTCTGGAGCCAAAACAGGTTAATGTGTGATTTATTGCGCTACTTTGAGAATGAGACTATGTGGTGTGGGTTTTGTGTATGGTTAGTGAAAGTGAAATTGCATTTCCATCTTATATGTATTTGTACCAAACACAGTTTGCACAAACCTTCCAAAGAAGAAATTCAACATCATTATTTATAACCTTTCTAATACGAAACGCTCAGAACCCCATATACCACAACACCAAATTGTGTATGCTAAGTACTTATTGAGACAAGTCATATTTACAGACGAAAACCTCAAAAATCACTTGAGAAATATTGTGTTTTGTATATGACCGGATTATATCACCCCACCTGCAGATCATAACGATTGATCTTTTGCATTCGTCACAATCATGAACTGTCCCATGTTCTAGTGAAGTAACAATTTTTAGAAATATAAACAAAAAATTAAAGGCCCACCTTTAGAAAAGCGCGGACAATAAATCCAAATATCGTTGACATCTCACAAGAAACCGACTTAATCCTCACATCTTTCTCGTTCTGGGCGTGGGAATGTTGCCTAGGTATTTTTATTTCTTACATTCTTGATCAATTTCCTGAACGTTTCTTCACCCACCAGTCCCTCCCTGCTTCCAATCAACCTGCCCCTCACCAGAACAGACCCCTGTCTTACGGTAACAGGTCAGGTAAAGTAGCTGTTGATTAACAGTAAATGAGTAAACAGCAGGCACGGAGACTCTCTCCCCAGACAAAAACGACTGGTTGGTTTCTCGACTAGCTAGAGTGTTGCCGATTTCACGTTACTACAGGAAAAAGATCTGCCCGTGTGACATGTCCAAATATGTGTCGATACAAGGTGGGTCGTTGTTTTTGTCTTTTATGTATACATGACTCTACAAACGAGGTATGAATGATGAACGATATCGTTTTCAACTGTATGGCTCGCCAGAACAGTAGATTTCCAGTGGCTGATGTTTATTTCTTGCAGGTAAGTGCCGTTCTGTCAGTATATGATTCCTGTAGGTTCGTGTGGTTCTAGTGACGGGTCGTATCTTGTTTCGCCCCCATCCCCATGCTTGTCGTGAGAGTGGACTAACCAGGTGAGGTGGTCAGGCTCACTGATTTGGTTCATGTATGTCATCGATCCCAACTGCCTAGAAAGATGCTCATGATGTCGTTCTGATGTAATTGGGTGTTATCAGATCTTTGTGTAGCGGTAGAGAGCAGAAAGATCTGATTTTAATGAAATTTATCGCTGGATTGTCTGATTATTTACAGACCACCATGATATAGCTGGAATATTGCTGAGTGTGATGTTAAACAACAAACAAGACAACGTGTGTCAGTGTTCCAACAGAAGTCATGGTTTCCGGTAAAACGAAGGATTGACTAGCGACGTTTCTCTGTAATACACTCGAACTATTTCATACTTTTTGTCAATACATGTTAATTGGATCTCAACGATCTCTATATGCTGTTTGAGATGATGTGAGTTAATTATCGGTCCGACTTCGGAGCCTACAACTCGAAACAATAGACAATGGACCCAAACACGTCGAGGTAGCAAAGCTTCACTGTCACTTTAGAGTATAACCGAATAACAGTATTTTCCTCTACAAACATACGGTAAAAAATGGGTACGTGCATGTTGTTAACGCCGATGTCAGCAATAAAATATCATAAATATAATTTACAATCAACCTGTACATTGAAGAACTCCACGCCATCGTAGAACAGTGTCACGCAACTAGCCAGGTCATGGAGCCTGCCATTCAGATCCTCATTCAGTCCACTCGAGCTCTTAGTAATCTGTCATACAGACCCTGATACAAATATATCCAATACAGCCCATGCAAGTCTCTGATGTTTAGCAAGTCTAGATTACTGCAGCATCAGGAAATGAAGAGTGTCTCTGGGCTCCTTTGTATTTTATTTTTATTTAAACTTTAATAACTTTTTTTTCTGTAAGATTTCATTTCAGAGACTATATGTTAGTCTACACTCTCAGGACAAGCATCAGGTATTGGGTACTCTTTTCGTCCGAGTCAAAAAATGATGGAAAAAGTAATTTTATCCCCCGGTTCATCTTTCTCCCCAACCCACATCTTCCCCCATTAAACTAATTAGATTACACCCTGGAGTTTCTTTAATAGCCTTAAAGCTAACAGAGTGAAACAGATGCAGTGTTGTTTACATTTGATCAAAATCTGAAGCTGCCCAGGACATGAAACAAAATACGTTGGATTCCGAGCAATTTGATACACTTAGATTACTTTTCATGTAATGTCTATCACCTGATGTATTTGTTTGTATAGGTTCTAACGCCGATATGGCTGTGATAACGGGACGGGGCTGTATCGCGGCAATCGGTTTGATTGTCGTGGCCTTTGTCATCGGGTTGATGATCGGCCTGTTCGCCCCAGAGCGCTACGGGCCCAAGTCAGACAAAATACTGAGAAGACTCACAAGAGATGCGGACCCTGATGTTGGCAACAGACTCATCAACGGGATCGACCCTGCGATCATTGACAAACACCTGCAGTAAGAATCTATTATCGGCATGTGATGTTTTGGTTTTTTTATCGAAGAGGCGTTTTATATTTTTAGTTCAAATGAATACAATATCGTGGTTAATGTTCTATTGTCGCCCTTGAATCGACGATTCCGATGACGGCGGGTTGTCTGTCTATCATCGAAAGCTGTGATATTTTCATCATCAACGGTAAAACGCCACGACAGAACATTTATGTTAACTTGTTCTCGCGATTTCGTAGTACTACCGTTTGGACAAGCTGAGATTGCAGGGCGGTGGGTAGCCTCGAGGTTAATGCGTTCGCTCGTCACGCCGAACACCCGAGTTCGATTCCCGACATTGTTTCAATGTGTGTAGCCCATTTCTGGTGTCCCCCGCCGTGATAGTGCTGGAATATTGCTAAAAGCGGCGTAAAACCATAATCACTCTTTCACTCACTCACTCACTGAGATTGCAATATTTTACTATTTGCAAAGGTCGCATTCTCGCCATTTAATTTGAAAAGAAAATCTGAAAGCAAGAGACGAATGGAGAGACACTTCGCGACTTTTTATTCATCAATACGAATATTAAGTGAGTGGGTTTTAACGCCGCTTTTAATAATATTCCAGTTATATCACAGCGTGTCAACTTAATGTGGGAGGAAAGCCCGAAGTGATGCAGGTCTCAGACGTTTACCACTTCGGTGAAACCCACGAGCACGTGTATGGTGCTGACAAACCTAGAAACATAATCGGGGCGAACAGTTATTCGAACCCACGATCATAGGTTTCTGATGTGACCAAGGGACGACTGGGCCACCCGTGCCCCCCTGAATATTAAGATTTCAGGGTTGAGTAATTTACATAATTCCTTTTATATCTTTAATTCAACTGCTGGGATTCAGTTTCCATTCACTGCATTGTCCTGCGTTTCAACATCTGAAAATATTTAAAGTGTGTAAAATGTGTTCATGCGATTCAGAAAGTCATTAGGTGTGCATGTCACGATCACAAGCAAAATCGCATGCATGTTTCAGATTTTTAACCTCACGCCCGCATCTCGCCGGAACTCCAGGCAACCTCCGTACGGCAGAGTACGTCAGAGATCAATGGACGGAACAGGGATATGACGTACAGATGGTGCCGTATAATGTGCTGCTGTCATACCCAGAGGAGAATCATATCAATACCGTAAATACCTATAAACAATCATTTCCTTGTAGACATATAGCAACGATGTACGTATTCCGCCTATATTGTATCTCTGTGTATTGTCTTTCTCTCTGAACAAATGAATATTATTCGTCAGTGCGTTCATCACTCCGTAGTTGAGAGGTGATGACGCTGTACATCATCGTCAACAACGAATAGTGTGAATGTGCTCATGCTTCTAATTAGGCCTTACAAAAATTAAGATTTTGGGACTTAATCTTGAGAAGTGAGAAGTAACAGTGATAACACATATCTTAATAACTAAAAGGTAAATTGATAAATCGAAAAGTGTATGTTTCCAGGTACAATTGCCAAATCCAACAACCTACCACAAAGTGGTATCACCTGTTCCCCAAACCGTCAAGCTGCTCCCTGATCCAAGTAAATCTGTTATGACGTTATGACCATAGATGTAGTTACCATATGTAAAATGATGGAATTCCTCACACACGACATCTACACGTATACAATCGTGTATGCAACATTTGGGGATCGGACACTAAGGTAAGAAGTAGGCATCCAATGGGTACCAATTGCTCTCCCCTTCTTGCCGATCTGTTTCTATGTGCATATGAATTGGAATTTCTGCTCGGATTGGCAAAATCAAAGCACGGGAATGTTGCAAAGAAGTTTTTGGTCTTTGGCGTGACGAGCGAACGACTTAACCACTAGGATACCCCACCGCCCTGTTTGTATAGAATGTATGTGAAGAGGATGTCTTTCTGCTGCAGGCAAGCCTGGTGGCCTCTGACGGGAGAGTGATGTACCAGACTTCCCCCGGTGAACATGCCTTGTCCCCCGAGGACGCCCACCCCGAAGCCATACAACCATACAACGCCTTCTCCCCCAGCGGCAACCCCGAGGTAACCCAACAGTAGTGATCGCGGACACACTTGACGTATTGACCCGTCTCACAAGCACGTTCACTATATACGTCGACGTATTCAACAAATAATTGAGTTCGTTCCCCAACATTATTATAAGGGATCGATGATTTTAAGTGACATTAATTACTTGCGAGGACTGAACGTTGTTCACACGTGCTCTTTATAGGACTTATGTAATAATTATTACTGTTTTTAGATGTAGGGGGTACATCTCTTGAGTAGATAGTTTTATCGGCAAATGTTTTGCAAGTCAGTCGAGATATGCCATTAAGTACGTTAATATATGCACCTATCTGCATGCTTTGACAACAGGTTTTAGTTAAGCAGAATAGTAAGTTTATAATGACAAGATTCATAAGGAAGAGAATTGATGGACACCACAGTGTTTCTCATAATAAAGAAGTTGACATCCAAACATTCTCTTTCTTTAGCGTATCACTTCTAAATACCATTCAAAGACTTGACAAGATTCATGTCGCTTCAGTTGCCAGCTAATAGTGTCGTGTTTGCATGGCTTGATATTCCTTCGTTGTTCATAGTTGCTTTGACGATTAAGAGCTGAAGAACTATGACTGGGGTAGACGATTCATGTAAATGGTGTAGACGATTCCTGTGACCGGGGTGGACGATTCATGTGACTGGGGTAGACGATTCATGTGAATGGGGTAGACGATTCATGTGACTAGGGTGGACGATTCCTGTGACGGGGTAGACGATTCCTGTGACTGGGGTAGACGATTCATGTGACTGGGGTAGACGATTCATGTGACTAGGGTGGACGATTCCTGTGACGGGGTACACGATTCCTGTGACTGGGGTGGACGATTCCTGTGACTGGGGTAGACGATTCCTGTGACTGGGGTAGACGATTCATGTGACTGGGGTAGACGATTCATGTGACTAGGGTGACGATTCCTGTGACTGGGGTAGACGATTCATGTGACTGGGGTAGACGATTCCTGTGACCGGCGTGGACGATTTATGTGACTGGGGTAGACTATTCATGTGAATAGTGTAGACGATTCCTGTGACTGGGGTAGACGATTCATTTGACTGGGGAAGACGATTCATGTGACTGGGTCAGACGATTCCTGTGACTGGGGTAGACGATTCATGTGACTAGGGTTGACGATTCCTGTGACTGGGGTAGACGATTCATGTGACTAGGGTTGACGATTCCTGTGACTGGGGTAGACGATTCATGTGACTGGGTCAGACGATTCTTGTGACTAGGGTTGACGATTCCTGTGACTGGGGTAGACGATTCATGTGACTAGGGTTGACGATTCCTGTGACTGGGGTAGACGATTCATGTGACTTGGGTAGACGATTCCTGTGACTGGGGTAGACGATTCATGTGACTGGGGTAGACGATTCATGTGACTAGGGTTGACGATTCATGTGATTGGGGTAGACGATGCATGAGACTAGAGTAGACGAATCTAAAATTAAAATCTGCTCAAGCTACTTGCAGTAAGGGCTGACGTTTTCGTCTTTGATGGAAAAGGTATTCATACAGCTATTGCAAGAACTAAAATGCCATCAATAGTTGAACCTTCATCTGACCTTACAGAGTGAGTTAGTGTACGCCAACTACGCCCGAGACGTTGACTTTGAGAGCCTCATCCGACTTGGGGTAAACGTTTCGGGAAAGATCGTCATTGCTCGGTATGGACAGATCTTCCGTGGGAACAAGGTGAGGCAAGGTCCTTCTTATAAGTTCTTGCATGTTTTTATGGCAGATTGATAAGTGGTATCTATTGAATGATCGATGGACTGCACACTCGGATCCCACGAGGGGTGACAATCAGTATAGAGCGAAGCCTCGTTTTTCTGGAAACACTGCTTTCCGCAATACACAAGAGTTTATTCTGTATCAATGATTTCAATTGTTATTCCGGAATTCGTTTTTAATCCGAACGAGTTGTCCTGATCAACTGGTTTTCACTGTTAATGATCTAGAAATAGCTGTGAAACCGATTGACTCGGTGATTGGGTTCATGGTCGGAGACTGCACTGTACTTTCAGAACTATTGTCTGTCAATAACTGAAAAAATCACATTGAAACGGTTTTGTCGACGTTTATGTGTTTTAGAAAGATATTTCTACTTTTCATATTCAGAATTTAGGTTTTTATATAACGTTCGCCATCTATTTTACACATGGAAAGTATGTACGTATGTCGTATCTTTTCTGTAATCTTAAATACGGTAACATGTAAACGCTTTTCAAACAACTGTATACACCGTGGATCAGAGGCGTGTTTTCCCACTGTTTCGACTTGGGGACCTAAGTTAAACCTGTCCGTATGCTACTCTCAAGAACATTAAAAATATACGTTTGCAGTTGCCTCTGAAAGAGGACAGACAACGTCTTGACCAGACTATCGGTATATACCTTGGAGGCTAAAATCCAGTTGTCAACATTAAACTGTTTATATCAATTATATCATGGCCTGTCAGTTTGATGTGTGAGGAGAGCCCAATGTGATCATGGCGCAGGCCGTTTTCCACATGACGGGTATGGTGCTGACAGGTTGCGGATGGTAACCGATGCTAATTTGGGATTCGAATCTGTAATCAGCAGATCCTGACACTGCGGAAGGCCTATAACAACAAGGTGTCATACGTCACATTTTGACCTGATACATGCATGTTGCTTTTAGTTCAATTAGATCATGGTTAGATTTGGTCTTCAGCAACTCATACTTGTAGTACGAGGCGACAAACGGGTTCTGACTTGGTTGATGCATGTTATCGTATCCCAATTGGGAGATCGATGCTCGTGATTTCGATCACTGGATTATCTACTCCAGACTTGATTATTTACAGACCGCCACCATATTGCTGGCGTTAAACAAAAAACAAACAAACATACATACCATGGATTCTAAATTTGATATATATACTCATTGATGGACGTGATATGATTAAGCATTAATATGAAAATATTAATGAATTTGCTTATATACATTGCTATGGTATGTGGTTTAAGGTTAACTTTGCTTACCAAAATGGTGCCGTTGGCGTCATCCTCTTCATGGATCCAAGTGACTACACCGACGGTAAAGTCACGTATCCAGACAGCATCTGGCTACCACCTACCGGCGTCCAGAGGGGCAACATCGTAATGATTAAAGGGGATCAAGCTACTCCTGGGTACCCGGCAACTTGTAGGTGTCATACAGTTTTAGTGAAATAACAACTTTGTCAACGTGTTAATTTAAAATGCAGTCTTCGTAAAATACCTGTCAACTTAATCAATCGATATAACGGACAACTAAGTATCATTTGGTTTCACACGGGGGTGAAGTAGTTTTCAGGTAGCACCATTATTATTATGTATATTTAAAGTAGGGTTTTGTCCTAATGCTCGCCTACTTGTATGTTCAGGAATGTGTAAATATCTATCTTTTTATGAACATTGCTATGATCTGGATTCTTTGAAACACAAGTACAAGTGTATTGGTTATTTGTTTGAGGTTTTTTAGGGTTAAAGATGTATTAGTAGAGTCAATGTCCACTGAAATTATAGCATATAGAAAAGCGCGTGTGCTATGATGTCAGTGGCAATTCATGTTGTATTTAGAAGACACACATGATCTATTCTTCACTGTAACGAATTATCTTCAACTTAAACCAACCTTCCTATGATTTGAAACAATTTACTCACAGGGTATACCGAACGTCTCACGGATGAAGAATTGAAGGCCAAACTTCCTAAAATACCGTGTCACCCAATAGGCTATGCTGATGCCTATATGCTACTGAAGTAAGATATGTTTCTTTAGATTATTGATTTGCAACCATAATTTATGTCTATATTTTACAAATATGAATAATTCCCTTTGATGTAGTAACTCGGTTCATTGACGAATAGAGTAAAATTAACTTCCGATTCCTTTTTAAAAAAATTAATGTAGTTTCGTGATTGGAAAGTGCTCTTCAGTGTCCAAAAAGAAACAAACGGTAAAAGATGAAACATCGTTTTAAAAAATAATTATGGAGAATTTAGATATTCAAATAAAATGTATCTTGCAAATGTTGTTTTTTTAAATATGTTTTTGAGCTTTCAATCTAAACAATGCCAAGATGCAATGATGTATGTATCTTCCCAGGGCGATGGAGGGGTTGGCAGCTCCACCCGAGTGGCAGGGGGGCCTCAACATCACCTACAAACTTGGGGGAATCATGACAGCAAACACGTGTGTGTCCTCAGCAGCATCTGTGGATGGCGCTATGCTATCATCATAGTTGTTAGATGTCTCATGTGACGGGCATGATCGCCATGTTTCTTAAACATTATATATGATTTATTATATCTGACAGGTATGTCTTTGTGACAAGAGGTTTAAGTGTTGTTAGAGTGTTCTGCCCTTATTGGTCTTTATATTTCTCGATCAATTCTATTACATGAGCAGGCCATGAGGACTCAGTGAAAGTATTCGATTGTTTCTTGACATCATTGTTAAGCGGAACATATTTAACGATGCCGATGTTATAGTGCTAGTCAACTGAGATACCATGCCGCAGAATTATCCACTCAGACACAGTGTACTAACTCCGAGCCGACCAGTCCTTGTTTTAGCCACTTAATCACGAGCACCAGGCACAATAAGTGCCATCTTTTAACGTCTTTTGGTGTGACGCGGTCGGGGTTCGAACCCTGGACTTTCCACGGAGGCAGCCTTTAACGACAGACATTCATGTATGATATGCATATTGGAACGGATTAAAACGTTTTCACTAGTTCTCTTTATTTTTTGTTGCAGAAAGGTGAAATTGTACGTAAAGAACAAACTGAAAACGGTCAAAATATACAACGTCATAGCTAAGATGAAAGGTGTCATAGAAAGCGGTAAGTATATCAAATAATTCTCTTTGGTCAGCATAGTCAGATATTAGCTGTATAGCAATCAACCTTCACCTATTTTGTATTCCTGCAGACAGAGTGGTGCTGATAGGAAACCACAGGGACGCATGGGTGTTCGGCGGGGTTGACCCGTCTTCCGGAAGTGCCGCCATCTTGGAAATGTCCAGAGTTTATGCCGACCAATTCAAAGGCGGTAAGGTCATATCAAGATCTGTGCCAAGATATATAATGTTCTGTGGTATTGGATGCTGTCAAATAGTAACAATCTAAGAATCTCCTATTTTAAATAATCTCGTATTCTTAGTGGATGATTTTTAATATTGTTTAACAGTTCCATGTAAAATGATCACGTTATAAGGGATAGCGGTGCCTAGAGACGACATCCTGGATTAGTTCAAATGAATGTTTGTAAGGGTTTTGTAGTTTTAATCTTTAGTGATCTTTTTTTGGTCTAATCCGTGAAAAGTAGAACGGTTGGTTAAATAGAAATGAATGTGAACAATTTTTAATGTAGCTTTTGGCATGGTTAGTCGAGTCAGTTGAAATATTAAAAATGGTGACGCCAAACCATATGCATAAAACTGAAAAACTCTTTGAATACGATCATTCGAACATGCTGTACTTGCCTATCTCCGTCACTTCAATAATAACTGCTTGTCCTAACGAAGTACCTGCGCTTCAGAGTTGATTTAGAAATAAAGTTTGCTCTGTCCCCAGAGCAATGATAAAAATCTGCAAATTGTCCTCATAGTGTCCGTTCATCTTGCATAATGGCCGCCATAGCTCTGCTGCACGCCGTGTTATTATGGTCTGTAGGTTGGGAGCCCCGGAGATCGGTCATGTTCTGCAGCTGGGATGCGGAGGAGTTTGGCCTGGTGGGGTCGTACGAGTGGGTCGAGGTAATTCCCTGATACAGAAAACACTGCAAGTGCATTGAAGTGGCGTAAAATCATATTTCCTCGGGTTGGGATTGTTCCCAATTACGACTCTCCTTTTTGTATCCATTATTATGCCGACATGAATTAGTATAACCTTTGCATCTCTTGTTTTCTTTATTTTCTTAAACTAACATTTAAATACAGGGGTGGGGACCTGTAAGGTTTTGATAAAATGGTTATTTGTGTCTGATTTCAAATTTTACACAATTATGTATTAACACGATAAATCAGTGTTACTTTTGATTAGTTTCCCATCAAAATGTACTTCATATTTGTTGTGCTTAGCAACGACATAGTGTGATTAATGAGTAGCATTTGCTAAATTTGCTGAACACTAAAGAAATATACATACCCGTATTCAGCATAAAATGATGCTTGTTATGAAGAAATAGTGAATGTTTGTACCTACATTTCCCTTGTGACAGGAGAATGTCATGTGGCTACGGAACCAGGCCGTTGCCTATTTAAACATCGACTCAACTACAGCCGGTGAGTCAACTTTATTGACTTTCAAGTATTAATCATTTACAATAACTGCGGTCCTAGACCACTGTGCAGAGTTACCTCCATTATCTGTGTCAGGATCCGCTGACTGTGGGTTCGGATCATAGATAGTCCCTAATTATGATCATGGTTTTACACATGATCGTGGGTCTACAATATGCGACATTTTGGGTTTTGCGCAGCAATGAGTTTACACACTGTGATATGACTGAAACACTCTTTAGTGGGTCGTTTAACTCATTCACGCTGTTAAGAACTGGCCGCCTCCGTGGTCTAATGGTAGAGCGTCCGCCCGGAGAGCGGAAGGTTCGGTGTTCGATCCCCGGCCGCGTTAAACCAAAAGACGTTAAAAGATGGTACTTGTTGTTACCCTGTCTGGCGCTCGGCATAAAGGGTCTCAAACAAGGACTGGTCGGCTTGGAGTCAGTACACTATGTCTGAGTGGGGTATTCATGTTAAACTGCGACATGGTATCTCAGTGAGCTAGCACTATAAATCGGTGTTAGTCCGGACTACACGCACCTGCATGTACGTCGCTATATAAGTGCAATAATCTTAGACCCGACGTTAAACCCAATGTCACCTCAGCTCACCTGTTAAGAACAGCGTTCAGTCCAAGTTATTCACTCATTGCAAGTAGTATCCTGCCCTTCCATCTTACTATTTCGCATGTCCTATGATGGTCCGTCCACCTTTAACATCCAGACACTGTGCGTATATGTGTGTCTACATTGTATATGATATTCTGATACAGAACAGTCTACATTATCTTAAGTTAACTGCATACTCACGGGAAGCCTGCATACAAATCAATTTCTTGTACATTTAACATTTGTATACTTTACATCATCTTCCCGAGGCAAGAGAGTTAACTGACTCTAAAATTCCAGTTTCCACCCTTGCCGAACTAGGCTGGAATTCCTGGGCTCGATCGGAGCGCCACCAGTGGCTATTACGAGTCATGTCCTTTCTATGCCTCTCCTATTGACCAATCAGATTCAACCTCTCGTATCACATGCATTTGCTTCAAACAAAACGGTGGCGCCCACTCAAGACGATCTGATCGATAAGCAAGATCTATATTGTGATAAAACGAGTTTTAAGTGCATCAAATCACGTGAGCACCTTGATTTAAAAAATGAAAAGATTGAGAAAATATCTGTTGACAACGAGTTAGCGGTGCACATGCTTTGCAAATCCTGCAGTCGACCGAAATCTGCATGACACTTTACGAACCGGATTTCGATTTCGGTGCGCGATTTGGTCCAGTCGTTAGTCGTTAGTCCAGCCAAAATGTAAATCCATAATACGAGCCTAGTTCGGCAAGGGTGGAAACTGGACTTTTATAGTCAGTTAACTCACTTGCCTCGGGAAGATGACCTTACATTGAATATCAAATATGTTATCAATTGTGAACGTGATCTTTGGAATTTGGCCCCCAGAATTTGTGCTTATCCTAAGAGTCGACAACATTGGATCGGGCGGTCGGGCTCAGTGACTTGGTTGATTGCGTGTCTTCGTATCCTGACGTCATGGGGCGTTGCTCATGAGATCAATCACTAGTTTGGTTGGTTCAGATTGCATTGTTTACAGACCTCTCTGGTATATATATAACTGGAATACTTCTGACTACAACGGAAAACAAACGGAAAGACTGGGTGTGTCGGGTAGCGCATACAGCCAGTGGTTAAAGACCAGAGAACGATTCGTCATGTGGTACACTTTGCTGGTCTCCCCCTCGAGATAATGCTACAGTTTAACGAGATGTACACCCTTTTGGATGATGACTTTGAGTAACTGGTTTCAAGTCACACTGACACATGACTATGTATATTTTGGTATGTTTTCACTTCCAGGTAATTACACAATAAGTGTTGCCGCGACTCCAACAATCAGACGTGCCATTTTCCGAGCAGCGCAAAAGGTTAGAAAGCAATATAATTTAATTATATAATTAGTTCCGTTATGAAATAACCAGCTGGTTTTGAAAACAAAACCTTCACTGATAGGTTTTCCGCTGTTCGCCACTGTGCTGTACACTGTATTCAGAATGTGTGACACCACAATCAACGGAAACCTGTTGCATTTAGTTTGCCATATAGTGTTTGTGGAATACCCACCTTCGTGAAAATTGGATGATTTTTATTGGAGTCATAAAAAGTATCGACGTTAATTTTCAATGTTTAATTTGTGTGATTTTTTTAAGTGACAAGATACTCGTCATTTTTTTTTTGCTGGTGAACAAAATAAATCTATATGGACAAGCACAAACTGCCTTGACTGTTACTAATTGATAACCGCCATTTTACGAGCACGATGGATGAATAAATTAAAACTATAACCTGAAGTAAAGAAAATCGCCCTCACGTGAGGATTTGTCAGATTTCTCGCAGTGCAGAGTTGCGTCCCCTGGGCACGCCTGAAACCCATGGCTGTGGGTTCGAATCCCGGTTCTCCTCGATCATGTTTCTAGGTTTGTCAGCTCCATACCCGTGCTCGTGGGTTTCACCAAAGTGTAAACGTCTGAGACCTGCATCACTTCGGGCTTTCCTCCCACATTAAGCTGACAGCCGTGACATAACTAGTTTATTGTTCAAAGTGGCGTTGGGGGGTGGGGGTGTATGGTTAACCTAGTGGTTACCCCGGGCCCGGTTCGATTCCCCAAATGGGTACAATGTGTGAAGCCCATTTCTGGTGTCCCCCGCCGTAATATTGCTGGAATATTGCTAAAAGCGGTGTAAACCATACTCACTCACTCAAAGTGGCGTTAAACCCAACTCACTCACTCACTGTTGTAGGTGCCGGATTCCCACCAGGCTGGTAGAACCCTGTTCGATGTATGGAGGGAGAGAAGACCAGATGCAGCTAAGAAGGAGTTCCCCAGGTATTGGGCACCATGATTTTCCTATTTTCCACCCCAATACCTCCAGCAAGCGTATGTCGACATATACATGCACACATCGTTCCAGATATTTTCTTATTAATATTTATAGGAATTTTATATACCGTAGCCGTGTAATACTGACACATATTTCAACTGATACATCTCGCTTGGGTGTATTTCCAGCCTCAAAATGCCCGGGGCAGGATCGGATTTTGTACCATTCGAGGAGGATGTTGCTATTCCTACCTTAACAGCCGACTACAGGAACATGGTAATTATTGACACGGCTTTCTCTCTCCCCTTCTCCTGGCCCAGTGATCAAGGGCGCCCCAACCCGTTTTGCAGGGTCACTGGTCCCATCGAATCCAAGATTCGTGCTTAGTCTGGCTGGAGTGTTTTCGTTTGTTCCATCAAAAGTATTCCAATACGTTTGGTTATAGTTATACTGATAATAAATAGACGAGGTTCGACCCAGTACGCACACGCACACGCACACGCACACGCACGCACAAACACCCTATTTCGCCTTTCACACCTGACCGCCTCGGTGGTCTAGTTGTAGAGCGTCTGCCCGGAGAGCGGAAGGTCGGGGGTTCGATCCCGGCCGCGTCATACCAAAATACGTTAAAAGCAAGTACTTGTTGTTACCCTGCCCTGCGCTCGGCATTAAGGGGCTAAGACGAGGACCGGTCGGCTTTGAGTCAGTATACTGTGTCTGAATGGGGTATTCGTGTTAAACTGCGGCATGGTATCTCAGTGGGCTAGCACTATAAAATCGGCATTCGCCCGAACGATTAACCTGTGTGTAAATGTGGAACTTCAAGAGACATATTGACCGGTGTGTAAATGTGAAACTACATGAGGCATATTGACCGGTGTGTAAATGTGGAACTTCAAGAGACATATTGACATGTGTGTAAATGTGGAACTACATGAGACATATTGACATGTGTGTAAATGTGGAACTTCAAGAGACATATTGACATGTGTGTAAATGTGGAACTACATGAGACATAATGACCTGTGTGTAAATGTGGAACTTCAAGAGACATATTGACCTGTGTGTAAATGTGGAACTGCATGAGACATATTGACATGTGTGTAAATGTGGAACTTCAAGAGACATATTGACTGGTGTGAAATGTGGAACTACATGAGCCATATTGACATGTGTGTAAATGTGGAACTACATGAGACATATTGACCGGTGTGGAAGATGTGAACTTTATGAGATACAATGACCTGTATGTAAATGTGGAACTACATGAGACATATTGACCGGTGTGTAAGATGTGAACTTTATGAGATACATTGACCTGTATGTAAATGTGGAACTACATGAGCCATATTGACCGGTGTGTAAGATGTGAACTTTATGAGATACATTGACCTGTATGTAAATGTGGAACTACATGAGCCATATTGACCGGTGTGTAAGATGTGAACTTTATGAGATACATTGACCTGTATGTAAATGTGGAACTACATGAGCCATATTGACCGGTGTGTAAGATGTGAACTTTATGAGATACATTGACCTGTATGTAAATGTGGAACTACATGAGCCATATTGACCGGTGTGTAAGATGTGAACTTTATGAGATACATTGACCTGTATGTAAATGTGGAACTACATGAGCCATATTGACCGGTGTGTAAGATGTGAACTTTATGAGATACATTGACCTGTATGTAAATGTGGAACTACATGAGACATATTGACCGGTGTGTAAGATGTGAACTTTATGAGATACATTGACCTGTATGTAAATGTGGAACTACATGAGCCATATTGACCGGTGTGTAAGATGTGAACTTTATAAGATACATTGACCTGTATGTAAATGTGGAACTACATGAGACATATTGACCGGTGTGTAAGATGTGAACTTTATGAGATACATTGACCTGTATGTAAATGTGGAACTACATGAGACATATTGACCGGTGTGTAAGATGTGAACTTTATGAGATACATTGACCTGTATGTAAATGTGGAACTACATGAGACATATTGACCGGTGTGTAAGATGTGAACTTTATGAGATACATTGACCTGTATGTAAATGTGGAACTACATGAGCCATATTGACCGGTGTGTAAGATGTGAACTTTATGAGATACATTGACCTGTATGTAAATGTGGAACTACATGAGCCATATTGACCGGTGTGTAAGATGTGAACTTTATGAGATACATTGACCTGTATGTAAATGTGGAACTACATGAGCCATATTGACCGGTGTGTAAGATGTGGACTTTATGAGATACATTGACCTGTATGTAAATGTGGAACTACATGAGACATATTGACCGGTGTGGAAGATGTGAACTTTATAAGATACATTGACCTGTATGTAAATGTGGAAATCCCAGTCATATTGACCGGTGTGTAAGATGTGAACTTTATGAGATACATTGACCTGTATGTAAATGTGGAACTACATGAGCCATATTGACCGGTGTGTAAGATGTGAACTTTATGAGATACATTGACCTGTATGTAAATGTGGAACTACATGAGCCATATTGACCGGTGTGTAAGATGTGAACTTTATGAGATACATTGACCTGTATGTAAATGTGGAACTACATGAGCCATATTGACCGGTGTGTAAGATGTGAACTTTATGAGATACATTGACCTGTATGTAAATGTGGAACTACATGAGCCATACTGACCGGTGTGTAAGATGTGAACTTTATGAGATACATTGACCTGTATGTAAATGTGGAACTACATGAGCCATATTGACCGGTGTGTAAGATGTGAACTTTATGAGATACATTGACCTGTATGTAAATGTGGAACTACATGAGCCATATTGACCGGTGTGTAAGATGTGAACTTTATGAGATACATTGACCTGTATGTAAATGTGGAACTACATGAGCCATATTGACCGGTGTGTAAGATGTGAGCTTTATGAGATACATTGACCTGTATGTAAATGTGGAACTACATGAGCCATATTGACCGGTGTGTAAGATGTGAACTTTATGAGATACATTGACCTGTATGTAAATGTGGAACTACATGAGACATATTGACCGGTGTGTAAGATGTGAACTTTATGAGATACATTGACCTGTATGTAAATGTGGAACTACATGAGACATATTGACCGCGCGTACGTTTGACACACTTAATTGACAAGTACACAGGTGTTTCGATACGAAGGTATAATTAAACGTTGCATCCCATAATTTATGTTCTGTAAAGAAAAAGGATTGTGGGTGGGGCCGTGAACTACCCCCTACCCGTTCATTCAATAACATATTAAGGCAAAGAGAACTTAATTAAACTAAACAAGACATGATGAGTAAATTCAAAGTACAAGAACTGAGGTTCATGACAAGGTTACTCTTCATGTGCATGTCGTGCGCGGCAATCAATCATCATTGTGTCTGTTGCAGGATCTAGGGTACAGGGTGCACAAGAAAAACGCCCATCCGTTGTACCACACTCTATATGGCGGGTACCGCTATGTCAAGATGATCGATCCGGAACTACGGGTTGCGAGGACAGTGGCAGCCCTTGTCATCGAGACAGCGCGAGATCTCGTCGATTCTCTGATTTTACCACTGGATGTGCGAGATTATGCTGAAGCGGTGGACGGTTATATTCAAACATTATTCGACTCAGGAAGACAGAAATTCTCTTCTTACAATATAACGTCGGGTCAGTGACACTATTCTGTCTATGTTAAATAAACATTGTAGGTTAGCAAGCATAAATAACGTGGTTTAAATGTATTCCTCCAAATAGAAACAGCGCTAAAATAACATACATGCTGCATTAAACTCGATTCTGATTGGGTAATCAAAGGTATCAAATCAAAATGCGCCCTCTGATTGAAACCATGGATTCTGTTTGAAAATCCCGTTTGTTAATGACGCCTTTGATTTTATACTGTGACGGTTGTTATACATCGCACATATACTGCCGGGGAAAACATGTGAATGAGTGTGGGTGTAACGCCTCTCTGGACAGTACAGCATCACAGCTTGACGTGGGAGGGAAAGCCCGAATTCATGCAGGTCTTAGAAACTTAGCACGAGCACAGGATGGTGTTGCTAACCTAGCACATGAGCAGGGCAAACCGGGATTTGAACTCACGCACCTAGGTTTCCAGTACGCCTAAGGGACACTTATATGCATTGGAGACAATTCCGTTACAATGATTTCCTTCTTTAATTTCAGTGGCTATCAAGTCCGCATCCCAGAATTTTACCAATGCCGCAAAGGCATTTCACTTTGCTTTGGACAAAGTTGATTTACACAAGTAAGGAACATTCTTTCCTTGTGAGTGAGTGAGGGAGTGGGTGGTAGGGTGAGTGAGTGAGTGAGTGAGTGAGTTATCACGCCGCCATGAACAATATAACGAGTGATGTCCCTTCTATGTACCTCCTATTGACCAATGAAATTCATGTCACTTGCATTTGCTTCAAGCAAAATGGCGGTGCCCAGTCAAGACGATATGATCCAATAATCAAGATCTTTATTGTATTAAAACCTCGCGAAGTACATCAAATCGCGTCAGCACATTGATTAAAAACATGAAAAGATCTGGAAAAATTCTACTGACGGGAATACGAACGAAGTACGAATACTTTGCAAATCCTGCAATCGAGCGAAATCTGCACAGCAGTTTACGAACCGGATGTCGATTTCGTTACACGATTTTGATTGGACTATGCATAGACCCGTTTGTCTAGCCAAAACATTACTCCATAATTCCAGCAAGTTTGGCAAGGGTAGAAACTTTAATAGTCAGTCAACTGGATGGACATATCAGGTTGAAAGTAGAACAACTCGGCCAATACAAATTGAGCCAGAGGTTGTATAAAAGTGGCCCGGAACTACTGTCGTTTACTCGAGTAAAATATTGTTACCAAGGTCGATAATTTATAGATGCGTATTAGTGCCACATTCTGAAAAAGAATCATCATGACACTATTCACATCTACCTATATGATATGATAATCAACGTAGAAGAAAGTAGCATCTTTGTAGATGTAAATATGGTCTACGTAGATGTAAGTATCAGTATATATTTGTTTAGAATGAGGCACTAATACGCCCCCATAATAATTCGAAAGTAGATGCTATTTTCTTCTTCGTAGATCATTAGTATCATCTCCGTGGACTAAAGCATCTTCTACGTAACTGAAGTTTCGCAGATGGTAGATGATTTATTATTTTTAGAATGTGGCACTAATACAAACGGGAACAAAACCCTGCAAAGACAATATCTAGTGAACATATATGAAAATAGAAATACCAGACGTTTTCCACCAGTGATGGTTGTACACGGGAACAATTACGTAGTCCTTATCACAGTGATATTAACACCTTCAGCCTGAAATCATCAGTACATTCTCTGCACCTTTTTACTCAACGCAAAAGTACATTACATTTACAAAAGTAAATCATTAAGATGAACATACGACATTATTCCAGCCCTCTTGAAGTGAGAGCGGTCAACGAGAAGTTACAGACAGTGGAGAAGGCATTCCAGGTTCACAGCGGACTCCCAAACCGGAAGGAATACAAGTAAGTTACAGTTACTGTACTATTTCATTCTTGTATGATTCCCAGAGACACTGTAACATTTGGACGTATAACGCTGTCGTCTTTCAAACTAGTCTAAATACCATCCCAACTGCATAATCAGAGATATTTTATTTTTTAATGTTTTATGAGCATATCTATTACATGATTATTTCACGTGTTTACACCCCTGTACAATACCACGTGGACGGGCGTATCGGGGGATATTGTTTCCATGGTAAGAGTAAATAAATGAATACTATTTATTAATTGACAACAATAAACTGCAGTTTTTAGTTTGGATGCAATGGATGGCTTGATATACTTCAGTAATTTGTAGCGTAATAGCAAATCTTTTCGGACATATTTAAATGAGAGTCGTTTCCAGTTAGGTATGTAATACATTAAGGTAGACAGACAAATAACTCGGCAGCCCGGGGTAACAACATAAATTAGTTTCCAAGAACTCAGTTCTTCCCTCAGTTCTTCCTCCATTCTTTAGTGACAGAGCGGTTATATCACCCGTTCGATCAGACAGATGTGAGTTCGAATCCTAGGTGAAAAAGTTTACACATTTTCTCAACTTTGATTAAAATTCATAGCAGGAATCCGAGGAATCGGAAAATGCTAAAACGTAGATAATCCTAACATGGCAATATAATAAAAGTGTGTGATAGTATTGTGAACCTACACTTATAAGAGAGAAAGAAAGGTGAATCGGTCAATAAACGATCACTTATAACCACAGAAACCATGCCAAGCAGATGAGATGAGGTGAAATGGGGTTTAACATCGCGTGCAAGATCATTGCACTTATATATCAACGCTCGTGTATGCGTGCGTGTGTGCGGACTAACCCGGGTGTTATAGTTCTATCCCAATACAATGCCGCAGTTTAACATGGATATCCGACTGTACGGTAGACGCGGTATACTGACTCCGAGCCAGCCAGTCCTTGTGTTAACACGCGAGTGGGGGGGAATCAGCTCGCTTAGCAGAGGTACCACTGTTCACGACCAACACGCAACACAGACCTGAGTGATATAATCAGTCAACAATAGAATGATCACAGTCAATTATTACTGCATGTTTATATTACAATCAGTAATAAAGTACATATATGCGAAGAACATCAAATCAATATGATATCCTACAGTATGATTGAAAGGCGACCATGCTTGTCGTAAGAGGCGACTAACGGGATCGGGTGGTCATGCTCGCTGACTTGATTGATGCATGTCATCGATCCCAATTGCGTGGATCGATGCTCTTGATGTAAATCACTGGATTGTCTGGTCCAGACTCGATTATTTACAGACCACCGTCATGTAGCTGTAATAATGCCGAGTACAGCGTTAAACAACCAAACAAACAAACGAATATAGTATACCCGACACTCTTACTAATATATACATTACCCAAGTGGGAATTCACACAAGATACATTCTAGTTTAGCAACAATACATATTCCAAAAGGTAAACAACGTAATAAAAATAACAGAATTGGCATAATCTATACAGAGACGCTCTACACTGGGAATATCTAAGCTAGACACACAAGTATACGCCTGCAGGTATTGCCCAGGGTAACAACACATAGTTAAGGTTTAACATAGTACAAGATAAACGTTTCTTACCCGAGTGAATAAACAGTCAGTTTATTAGACAGCCACAGAATGTTTGTGACCGTCTGTCGTCCGTATTTATACCTATCCTAGCTCCTACAGATAATCTCATTTACTGATTTAACAGACGATAAAGTTGTTATGAACTTTAGTGGCGCTAACTCGACAGAATTATACAATTTAGTTTGCCCGAGGCATTGATGATAAAGGTGTTTATAAGTGAAGGTAAGTAAGAATAATAGTTCACCAGTTGCTAGTATGCCACGAATGTATACGTGGTACGTGTGATTTGATAAGGGTGGACAATAAACAGCTCCAGATACAGATAAAGGTATTGACGTCTTACATTTGTTTGCCTAACTCTATCTGGCCAGCGCAATGAGAGATGCTGGTCCTGTCTGATATGCGTTATCGGTTAAAGATAATGGAACGTGGTCCATCAGTTGTAATATTCCCTTATTTCTCAATTTCCACATCTTAACATGTGGCATGTTACGTTATAAAATATTTGTAAAACTTTGTCCAATTTCCCCATGTTAATACATTTTTATTCCCTTAATGCCGAGCGCCAGGCAAGGTAAGAACAAGTACAATTCTTTAACGTATTTTGGTATGACGCGGCAGGAGGATCGAACCACCGACCTTCCGCACTCCGGCCAGACGCTGTGTCCAGACCACGGCGGTGGTCCATGGCAACGAGACCTTGGGGTATAAACAACTTAACCGGGGTCTAAAAATTGTGTTTTTCAACTTCAGGCACGTGCTGCTATCCCCGAGCAGCGCCGACTACTACAAAACGACCACGTTTCCAGGGATGGCGGACCTCCTCTATCAGATCGGGGACAACGCGACACGCTGGAGGGAGGTCAAGACCCATCTGTCCGTCCTGACCTTCTGCATACAGTCAGCGGCCGATATACTTACAAGCTAGTTCTACACAGACGTTTTGTTGTTTCAATAAGGTTGTTATAACAGTGATTTCAATGATATGTCTTATGTGTAAGTTACTTCCAAATGATACCACCGGTAGATTCGTTCAAAATGGAGTGAGTGAGTGGGCGAGTGTGGTTTTACCACGCTTTTAGCAGTATTCAGGCGATATCGAGGCGGGGGACACTCAAAATGGGCTTAACACTTGAGGGGAATCAAACCCGGGTCTTCGGCGTGACGAGCGAACGCTTTAACCACTGGGCTACCCCACCGCCCATAGTTCTAACAGGACATTGTTATTGGTGATATTATGGCATTTTTCATCATTATATTCAAGTAGTTTTGAAGCTTGTATATGCGATACAGTATCTATGTCCGCGGGTCTTCATTAAGAGCATTTTAATTTTTTTCTGAGATAAGTCGAGTCGACTCGTATGTAACTGTCAAAATGCAAAAAAAAATGTTGCTGTGAATTCGATTGTGCTTGGTTGACTTGTACCACAGCGCAAATGTCTCATTTCACTTAAGAATCAGATAGGGAATTCGAAATCACGTACTGCGTTACTGCGTATTTGACAGACGAGTCTGGGAAGCCATGAAAGCATATCATTTTACTGTGTCTAGAAATAAGCGTTCACTTTTTTATTTCCATCAGTATATATAATGTTTTGTGTTGTGTCCTGAAAAATCTCGGTATGGGAGATAAAAAGTTACTTAATATGATCACAGTTCCTTCTGCGTCTGAGTATAGAGCCATACATAAAGACATCATTGACTTATCTTCTTGGAGACTCAACATTGTCTGATCTACGGTGTGCTAAGAGTTAACGCCTATCATTCGGAATATTTCAATCGGAAGACAGTACGAATGGAGATTCGAACACTTTAACCACAGGGCCAACCCACCTCCCCCTGACATATCTAGAAATAATTGGAGAGCCGGTACTAGCTTGTTGAAAATACCAAAATGTAGGTAACAATTTGAATTGTTTCCTTACAATAAAGTTCTATTTCCAAATACATTGTAAGTTGTTATTTCAATATACGGCGCGTACACGGAATGATGTTAATATGCTCGATGATCCAGCGTATTATATCACAATTCTAAGAAAGTATACACCCACGTTTGATGTTGGCTAAAAATGAAACATAAAAAAATGGTTATTTGAGATGGTGTTGTATTTGATACAGGTATCGTCCGGGGTAGAATAGGTCTTCAGCAACCCATGCTTTCCATAAAAGGCGACTATGCTTGTCGTATAAGGCGACTAACGGCATTGGGTGGTCAGGCTCGCTGACTTGGTTGATGCATGTCATCGATCCCAATTGCGCGGATCGATGCTCATGATGTCAGTCACTGGATTGTCTGGTTCAGACTCGATTATTTACAGACCGCCGTCATATAGCTGGAATATTGCTGAGTGCGACGTTAAACAGAAAAACAAACAAATTGATACAGGTATCATATAGGCGATATTACATGCATCATATCAATGAGTCTCACACAACAGGTGACGTGCACGTGACGTAACAAGGAACTTGGGGTCACAGTCCACAGTAATGAGCGGAGTGAAATGTAAATTGTCAACTGTATACTTTTTTTCAAGCCGGTTTATGTTGCCTTACGTAAATTTGGTAGTCTAACAATATTATTATATATTTTTGGAGTTAATAGATCATAAGGTAATATCGGTATTAGAAGGCATGCGAGTTCAACGACGTTGATGGTTATGAAATAATATACTTTGAAAGTAAAGACGAAATTTCACAATAAAATGCGAGTGCAGTGAGACCAGTCTGCCAGCAAATGGCGCTAGCTTGATGATAAAAGCCGAACGTGAGATATCGGTGAGACAAGGCGACACTGTTCAAAAACAATTCAATTTACGGATTCGAACATCTAGAGTAAAAAACGTAAGTCAGAAAAAAAACATTGCTCAAATATATTTTAACTTGTTCGGCAGCGTAACTTTGATCGATTAGGAAAGTAAAAAGATACAAGTAAATAAATAAAAGAACGAAAGTCTTATCTGACACCAAGTATAAGAACACGTTTACATATTAATGTAAAAGTGGTACATATTTTACTAACGAAACAAAATTGTCATATATAGTTTTACCCCTAAACTGACATATAGCGGCTAGCGAATGTGTCACGCGCTAGAATGGAGTTTGTCCAATGTTCAGTCTCCTTCCAATGCCTTTCCTTGCCCTCCCGGTAAAGAGTAAGACCCATGAAATTCCGGGGTAGAATATAGGTCTTCAGCAAACCATGCTTGTCGTAAGTGGCGACTAACGGGATCGGGTGGTCAAGCTGACTTGGTTCATGCATGTCATCGTATCCCAATTGATCGGAGTGATCCTCATGGTGTCAGTCACTGCATTGTCTGGTCCAGACTCGATTATTTACAGACAGCCATCATATAGCAGGAATATTTGTGAGTGCGGCGTTAAACAAAAACAACACATTTAGATGGAATATTGCTGAGTGTGGCGTTAAACAACAAACCAAACCACCACCAACAACAGGAAAGGTAAAGCGTATAGAAACTCCGCGAACGGGATTATCGCTGTGAGAGCTTTTGAAGTCCGCTCCCGTTCAAGCCCCTCACAGCGATAACCCTTGACTGTAAGCGGAGATACCACCGCGATGTTACGGTGTCACGCGCTGGGAAGGAGCTTCAATTGAGGGGAGGTAATCTTTCAGAAGTTCTGTACACTGCATGTAACATTTAGCGGCGTCTAAGTCGTTGCAAGGAATCGAAGCTCCACACACATATCATCGTCTGCACTCCTCGACATGTGTTTGTTGTTTTCGTGATGACAAGATGAGAGGAAAGTGTATATAGATCGGGCGGATCTGGTACGTATTGTGAATAGTGTCCCATGTTTTATCTCATTCTATATTTGCTTGACCTTGTCGTGTTCTTGAATGGGTTTGAATACAATCGGTATAACTATAAGTCACTCATGTGGACTTTGTACCTGGAGCTAAACGTGAAACGCTAGTATCGGCACTGGTTGTCAGCGATACATTGCTCAGTAGATACAAGACGGAAGAGTGGTGAATGTGTGACCCGTGGGTACAGCGACAGTAGCGTATTTATGAACTAGTCACTGCAATTGCTGCTATAGACAGAGTGACACACTCTAAATGATCTCTTTTAGTTTAAATTGAAATACCCCAACACATTCATTTGCTCAATGTTTTGGTTTTTTTTTTTCATTTGAACGTAAGATTATTTTTTTGTGTAAAAATGTGTTAGATCTATAATAAATGCATTTTAACCAGTGTATATCTTTGATGAAAATTGTCAAGACATTTATGACAAAGAATGAAAGAATCAAGCCACATAATAATGAAATAATAAAATAATAGAATCTAGATCTAGGTTAAATTGGTGCTGAAGTTTTTTCAGAATATTGGTATTCTGTTTAGATTTCGACCTGAAAGAATTAACATAAAAAAATGTAAAATAGAATCTAAAAAAAGTACATACTGTTACAATTACTGTTTGCATGTTTTAGATGAACATACAAATATCACTTATGTTAATGATAAACAATTAGCACTTACATTACATCCATCTAGTAATTTGTATCTGGTCAATACATCACGATACACATAATACCCTGTTGCATGTATGGTTAAATGTATACCAGCATACAAATGCAATAGCTATAGAGAACACACTGTATGTAAAGCTAGGAATAGGTGAATAAGTACTACAGTAACATGGTATATGGGATACAGAAAACATATATTGAATCTGATATTTTACTGATAATTACTGATTATTAGCGTCAATTTTGTCAAAGTTCCATTGAAATCCACCATCAGATTGATCGATACTTTGCCCGCTATGGTGAAGTCAACACACATGACCTAGAAACAATGTCATATAAGTTTGGTCAGCTGATTAGTTGGCTCGCTCTCCAGCATACGATGAAATGTATGTTGCCGCTGACACATCTGCAATAATGTATGTAGAAATCGCGATATGCCTGCAATATTGCCAATGCGATGTAAAATTATAACTCACTCACTATGTAGAAAACTACAGAAGTGATATATATGGTAAAACAGTGTATAAATGTATAAGATATGATAGCCACTACGACACAGTCAGCATCAAACATACAATGCCCACACCCCTGCACCTACCCCAATACATCAATACCTCATATCAAATATACTGACATACTGGTACATGGTGAAGCAAACCGATGAATGCAACTATGATGTTTCTGTTTCTCTTTTTCAGGGATTAAGAACATAAGGAAAATATGAACACTTGTTGTTCTTAAGCCACAGTCTACATCAAGCAAGAATAATTTTCAAGAATTGTTGATATCAATGGCAAAACATTTGATAAGGTCGACAGCCTGGCACAGAAAATGTCTTTATCAAATAAACTTGAGAAATAGCCATGAAACAACCATCGACCTCCTTTATCCAAATTCCTCAAAACTGCAGGATAATTCAGTATTACATGTGAGGAGGAGACCAATGTGTACATCGTCACTGCCTTCAAGCTGGTTCCACAAGTATCAGATAGTACAGAAGAGTGTGCTAGATGGTGACACTGACATTGAATGTACTGTGAGTGTTATTGACACCCACCGTGGAGCCACAGACAAGCCGATTGTGTTTGGGGTCCATGGACTGCCGGGCCAGGGGGATGACTTTGAGCCACTCATCTCTCGGCTACATGAGAGAGGAGTCCGTGTTGTCGCACCAACATTTCCAGGTACATGTACTGCAAGTATTTCAGTCTGATGCAGGTGTTGAGAAGCTGGAAGAACATGAAGACATGTCACTTTCATGGATTCAGGGGAATATTTAATATCAGCGTGAAAAGATATGAACTCAATACGTTAACTCAGTATTCACCTGATTAAGCATTTTCTTGAGGCAAGGGTTGGGTTGGTTTGTTGTTTAATGCCTCACTCAGCAATATTCCGGCTATATGACGGCGGTCTTTAAATAATCGAGTCTTGACCAGACAATCCAGTGATTGATATCATGAGCATCAATCCACGCAGTTGGGATAGATGACATGCATCAACCAAATCAGGGAGCCTGACCACCCAATCCCGTTATTTGCCTACGACAATCATGGTCGCCTTTTAAGGCAAGTATGGGTTGCTGAAGACCTATTCTACCCCGGATCTTCCCGGGTCCCTTGAGGCAAGGGAGTTGACTGACTATAAAAGTCCAGTTCCACCCTTGCCGAACTAGGCTGTTATTCTGTAGTTATATTCTGGCTGGACAAGCGAGTCTTATGCATAGTCCAGTCAAAATCTCGTAATGAAATCAACATCCAGTTTGTCAATAGCCGTGCAGATTTTGGTCGATTGCAGGATTTGCAAAGGATTTGTACTACCAACTCTGCATTGACAGATATTTTCAAAATCTTTTCATGTTTTTATCAAGGTACACACATGATGATGTGATTTGGGAAGTGAGACCCGTTTTGTCACAATACATACTTTAATTATCGATCAGATCGTCTTGACTAAGCACCATTTTGTTTGAAGCAAATGCAATTGATATGAGAGGTGGTATCTGATTGGTCAATAGGAGGGGCAAAAAGAAACAACTCATAATAACCACTGATGGCGCTACAATCAAGCCCAGAAATTTAGATTTCATGGTGCAAAGTTTTTCCCTCTGCAATAAATTCCATGTGAAAGGATGCTGTCTATCCTGGTCATGTATTCCCCTAAACTTGATACCATGGTAACCTTTTTCAGGTTTTGAAGGAAGCCTACTTGAAACATGGCAGCTGAATCACTTTGACTTTACAACTCAAGGAAGAGCACGCGTCGTCAAAACTCTATTAGACACTATGGATATCCACAGGTAACTCTCTCTCCACAGTAATCTTGAATATTGTAAACCTGGAAAGTTTGTTAGCAAGGCCATAATAATTCAGGGTTTACCTGACCCCCAATTACCAGTTTGAAGGATCCTTACAGAAAATATGAGGGTCCTGTAAAGTAATGAAATAGTGTTGTTTACTGTACTGTAAGATTTGATTATTACCTTAATTACAGGAACTATATAGTTATTGTGTGTCCCTCCCTTTTACATTACAAGGTAAAAGAAAAGTGAAAAGGAAAACAAGCAAAGTAGATGTAACCAACTTTTATTCCGTATGACTGACCTAAAGTCCTGTGAACAAATTATGTTCCATGCATCTGACCTTTGATTCTGATGTTCTTACAAAAACACTCAGGCAGAAGTCTACAAATGGTGAGCTTTAGTAGATGATATTTGGCTTAATGTTTCATGTACGTTCACGGTGGCAATGTAGTCACTTCTTAATGCTAATGTTTAGTGGTTGTATCATGTTAAAAGTATCAGCAGTTTTCTCATAGCCGTGTCAAGGCAAGTAGAGATTTTATGATGCTTCACTGTGTTCAAAATTAAGAATGAAAGTCAAAAGGGTCCTTGTCATAACCTTGATGTCACAGGGGTCCCTAGATTCAAATACTATAGCAGTGAGTCAATAGGACCAGAGGCCAACCAGTAATGATGAATTGGTTGGGATAACATGCAAATCTAGTGTTTAGAGATGCAATGAAAAAACAATTCTTAGAGACTTAGAAATATTGCGAGACGTACTTGACCAAGTTAACAATATGCCATGATGAGCTAGTTTGGTTGTTTCAGAGTTGACATGCTGTTGAGCCACAGTGCTGGAGCCTGGGTGAGCTACAAGGTCCTGGCTGAGTGGGACATGTTCAAATCTGCTGGCCTCCTGAGTCCGGTTGGAGCAAGACCACACAGGTCTGACACTTCACCCAGTTGAACTCCTCACCCAGTCCAAGTCCTGTCCAATTCCTGCTCCAGTCCAACTCCTTCAGTCCAACTCCTCCTCGGGTCCAACTCCTTCAGTCCAACTCCTCCATCGGTCCAACTCCGGTCCAACTCAGGTCCAACTCCTTCAGTCCAAATCCTCCTCCAGTCCAACTCCTGTCGAACTCCTTCAGTCCAACTCCTCCTCCGGTCCAACACCTTCAGTCCAACTCCTCCTCCAGTCCAACTCCTTCAGTCCAACTCCTCCACCGGTCCAACTCCGGTCCAACTCCTTCAGTCCAACTCGTCCTCCAGTCCAACTCCTGTCCAACTCCTTCAGTCCAACTCCTGTCCAACTCCTCACCAGGTCCAACTCCTGTCCAACTCCTTCAGTCCAACTCCTCCACCGGTCCAACTCCGGTCCAACTCCTTCAGTCCAACTCCTCCTCAAGTCCAACTCCTTCAGTCCAACTCCTCCTCCAGTCCAACTCCTGTCCAACTCCTTCAGTCCAACTCCAGTCCATCTCCTGTCCAACTCCTTCAGTCCAACTCCTCCTCCAGTCCAACTCCAGTCCAACTCCAGTCCAACTCCGGTCCAACTCCTTCAGTCCAACTCCTCCTTCAGTCCAACTCCTGTCGAACTCCTTCAGTCCAACTCCTCCTCCAGTCCAACTCCAGTCCAACTCCGGTCCAACTCCTTCAGTCCAACTCCTCCTTCAGTCCAACTCCTTCAGTCCAACTCCTCCTCCAGACCAACTCCGGTCCAACTCCTTCAGTCCAACTCCAGTCCATCTCCTGTCCAACTCCTTCAGTCCAACTCCTCCTCCAGTCCAACTCCAGTCCAACTCCGGTCCAACTCCTTCAGTCCAACTCCTCCTCCAGACCAACTCCTGTCCAACTCCTTCAGTCCAACTCCGGTCCAACTCCTTCAGTCCAACTCCTTCAGTCCAACTCCTCCTCCAGACCAACTCCGGTCCAACTCCTTCAGTCCAACTCCAGTCCATCTCCTGTCCAACTCCTTCAGTCCAACTCCTCCTCCAGTCCAACTCCAGTCCAACTCCGGTCCAACTCCTTCAGTCCAACTCCTCCTCCAGACCAACTCCTGTCCAACTCCTTCAGTCCAACTCCGGTCCAACTCCTTTAGTCCAACTCCTTCAGTCCAACTCCTCCTCCAGACCAACTCCGGTCCAACTCCTTCAGTCCAACTCCAGTCCATCTCCTGTCCAACTCCTTCAGTCCAACTCCTCCTCCAGTCCAACTCCAGTCCAACTCCGGTCCAACTCCTTCAGTCCAACTCCTCCTCCAGACCAACTCCTGTCCAACTCCTTCAGTCCAACTCCGGTCCAACTCCTTCAGTCCAACTCCTTCAGTCCAACTCCTCCTCCAGTCCAACTCCGGTCCAACTCCTTCAGTCCAACTCCAGTCCATCTCCGGTCCAACTCCTTCAATCCAACTCCTGTCCAACTCCTTCAGTCCAACTCTTCCGCCTGTCCAACTCCTGTCCAACTCCTGTCCAATTCCTCACCCAGTCCAACTTCTGTAAAACTCCTTGTCCAACTCCTGCTCCAGTCCAACTCCTGTCCAACTCCGGTGCAACTCCTTCAGTCCATCTCCTGCTCCAGTCCAACTCCGGTCCAACTCCTTCAGTCCAACTCCTTCAGTCCAACTCCTCCTCCAGTCCAACTCCGGTCCAACTCCTTCAGTCCAACTCCAGTCCATCTCCGGTCCAACTCCTTCAATCCAACTCCTGTCCAACTCCTTCAGTCCAACTCCTCCTCCAGTCCAACTCCAGTCCAACTCCGGTCCAACTCCTTCAGTCCAACTCCTCCTTCAGTCCAACTCCTTCAGTCCAACTCCTCCTCCAGACCAACTCCGGTCCAACTCCTTCAGTCCAACTCCAGTCCATCTCCTGTCCAACTCCTTCAGTCCAACTCCTCCTCCAGTCCAACTCCAGTCCAACTCCGGTCCAACTCCTTCAGTCCAACTCCTCCTCCAGACCAACTCCTGTCCAACTCCTTCAGTCCAACTCCGGTCCAACTCCTTCAGTCCAACTCCTTCAGTCCAACTCCTCCTCCAGACCAACTCCGGTCCAACTCCTTCAGTCCAACTCCAGTCCATCTCCTGTCCAACTCCTTCAGTCCAACTCCTCCTCCAGTCCAACTCCAGTCCAACTCCGGTCCAACTCCTTCAGTCCAACTCCTCCTCCAGACCAACTCCTGTCCAACTCCTTCAGTCCAACTCCGGTCCAACTCCTTTAGTCCAACTCCTTCAGTCCAACTCCTCCTCCAGACCAACTCCGGTCCAACTCCTTCAGTCCAACTCCAGTCCATCTCCTGTCCAACTCCTTCAGTCCAACTCCTCCTCCAGTCCAACTCCAGTCCAACTCCGGTCCAACTCCTTCAGTCCAACTCCTCCTCCAGACCAACTCCTGTCCAACTCCTTCAGTCCAACTCCGGTCCAACTCCTTCAGTCCAACTCCTTCAGTCCAACTCCTCCTCCAGTCCAACTCCGGTCCAACTCCTTCAGTCCAACTCCAGTCCATCTCCGGTCCAACTCCTTCAATCCAACTCCTGTCCAACTCCTTCAGTCCAACTCTTCCGCCTGTCCAACTCCTGTCCAACTCCTGTCCAATTCCTCACCCAGTCCAACTTCTGTAAAACTCCTTGTCCAACTCCTGCTCCAGTCCAACTCCTGTCCAACTCCGGTGCAACTCCTTCAGTCCATCTCCTGCTCCAGTCCAACTCCTGTCCAACTCCGGTGCAACTCCTTCAGTCAAACTCCTGCTCCAGTCAAACTCCTCCTCCAGTCCAACTCCGGTCCAACTCCTTCAGTCCAACTCCTCCTCCAGTCCAACTCCAGTCCAACTCCGGTCCAACTCCTTCAGTCCAACTCCTGCTCCAGTCCAACTCCTCCTCAAGTCCAATTCCTCACCCAGTCCAACTCCTTCAGTCCAACTCCTCCTGTCCAACTCCTGTCCAATTCCTCACCCAGTCCAACTTCTGTCCAACTCCTTGTCCAACTCCTCCTCCGGTCCAACTCCTCAGGTCCAACTCCTGCAGTCCAACTCCTCCTGCAGTCAAACCCCTCCTCCGGTCCAACTCCTTCAGTCCAACTCTTCCTCCATTCCAACTCCTCCTCCAGTCCAACTCCTCGCCCAGTCCAACTCCTCCTCCTGTCAAACCCCTTCAGTCCAACTCGTCCTCCGGTCCAACTCCTTGCCCAGTCCAACTCCTCCTCCTGTCAAACCCCTTCAGTCCAACTCGTCCTCCGGTCCAACTCCTCAGGTCCAACTCCTCCTCCGGTCAAACTCCTCCCCCGGTCAAACTCCAACTCCTCTGGTCCAACACCTTCAGTCCATATCCTTCTGTCCAACTCCTGTCCAATTCCTCACCCAGTCCAACTTCTGTCCAACTCCTTGTCCAACTCCTCCTCCAGTCCAACTCCTCAGGTCCAACTCCTGCAGTCCAACTCCTCCTGCAGTCAAACCCCTCCTCCGGTCCAACTCCTTCAGTCCAACTCTTCCTCCATTCCAACTCCTCCTCCAGTCCAACTCCTTGCCCAGTCCAACTCCTCCTCCTGTCAAACCCCTTCAGTCCAACTCGTCCTCCGGTCCAACTCCTTGCCCAGTCCAACTCCTCCTCCTGTCAATCCCCTTCAGTCCAACTCGTCCTCCGGTCCAACTCCTCAGGTCAAACTCCTCCTCCGGTCAAACTCCTCCCCCGGTCAAACTCCAACTCCTCTGGTCCAACACCTTCAGTCCATATCCTCCTCCGGTCCAGACTCCTGCTCGCTCCCACCTCTGGATCTGCCTTTGCATTGCAATGATACATACACTCTTTCAAATTTAGAAACATTGTGCAAATTGAATTTAGTTACTTGCTTCATATTTGTTATTATGTTTGTCCCAAGTATGTATAGATGTATGCAGAAAACAGTTTAGTTGCAATGCTGACAGTAACTTTTATTGAAATGCTGTTTTTGTTGACATTAGAAACTGTTATCTACATATCCAGGTGAGCTACAGTGTCATGTATCATATATTTTAAGTGCCCCCCTCTTTTTTCTATAGCTGTGTTTGTGCTTGCTTATCAGACAGGAATCAACTGTATTCCAATGTAGGAAACATTCTGTGTTGTCTTTGCTGCAGAGTTATCCGTCCACACTTCATCATTAAGGTCTTGTCTGCACTGCTTCGTGTTGAAGCTGGGCATCCTGTTGCTCTGCCTTTGTTAAGTAGAATCTACAACAGTGTGGGTAAGTTCATTCTGGTTTATTGTAGGGCTGGGAAGATACACCAACTGTGTGATCTGATACATATCATGATACCTTACTCACGATCCCATACGTATCACGATACCTTACTCACGATCTGATATGTACCACGATACCTTACTCATGATCCAAAACGTATCACGAGACCTTACTCACGATCTGATACATATCATGATACCTTACTCACAATCTGATACGTATCACGATACCTTACACACAATCCGATACGTATCATGATACCTTACTCACGATGATACATATCACAATACCTTACTCATTTTTCGATACATATCAGGATACCTTTTTTACAAGCCAATACGTATCACGAGACCTTCCTCCTGATTCGATACGTATCATGATACTTGCATGAGCTCTTTTCTGAGGTGCTGTTTTCATAGACAGGATAGCCAAATACCTGGCACTCTGACGATTTACAGTTATCAGTGTCAAGTATGATGCAATGGATGAAAATATTATGTTTTTACTATTAATTTTCACGACTTACTGGTATCTGGTGTAATAGTTATTAAAGCAGACATTTACATGGATATTGTTTACTTTGTGTGCGACTGTGATCGATACTTGTATCAAGAAGTAAACAATTGTGATCCACCTATGCATCAGTGTAGTATCCCACTACACAGTAAGTTTATGGTTTGCTGTTTTAACGCTGATGTACATGTGCAATATGGCATGTGAATATGATAGTCAGGTCATGATATGTTCTGTAGCTTATATTACTTTTTCTTAAGATACACATCTTTCATATCCTGATTAATCAAATGTAATGGTACAACTGCAGTGCTGGAGGTGGAGAGAGGGTGGATTGGTAGTGAGATGCTAGGGTGCACTCCCACAATGAAATACCTGTGTTCACTAATCCAAAACTGTCGACCACATCAATGATTTTCATGTAAATGCTCTGAAGGTACCTAGCTACAACAAATATCATTCTGGGGGTGAGGTAGCAGGTTTAGTTTCGTGTTATTCTTTTGTGTACCGAAATGGTGGACCTGTGACCATGCTGACGGGCCGTGTCTTGTATTTCAGGGTTTTCTGGAATTAAGACAGGAACACATTTAGTTGCAGCCCAGCATATGGTAGCAGGGCCTCAGTTTCACAATGTAAGTCTTCAGATTTAATAGACATACATTTGTGTCTTACTTGTGCAGATTCATACGTTGTAAAAGCCTGACTCTACTCATCTGAATTTGTCTTCTGTCATCATGTTTCCATTTCTGTTAAATTTTAGCCTTAGCTTGTGGACTTCCATTAGCTACCGTAACCCCTATAGACTTGAGGGGGGCTAGGATTTTGTCCCCCAAAGAAAATGCTTGAAATAAATCATTATGTCTAACACTGTTGGAAAAAAGAAAAATTATCATCCACAAAAAAATGCATTGTTGCAGTATGTTTATTTTAAATGGCTGTGAAGGGGATGGGGATTAAACATTGTGTGAGCTACAGGGCCTTGTGGCTCTTGTTTTAGAGGAAATGTTGGGACAATATGAACTTATAATTAAATTGTTTCTTCAAATTAACAAATTGTAAGAGCATTTCTTGACAAAGAAATGTTGATTCATTGTAGGTTGCCAGCCATGCCCAGCAGATTAGGAGGAAGAAGGTGCCATTGTTTATAGCCCACTCACTCAGTGACAAGCTTCTAGAGTGGGAGATTCCATTTGAGGTCATCAGCAAGCATCTCCACATCCCCCAGCAGAACATTGTACAGTATGCTGACAACAGTGTACCATCCAAGGATCCTCTCCCAGGTGAGTGAGTGAGTTTGGTTTTAGCAATGTTCCAGCAAAATCACATTGGGGACACCAGAAATGAGCTTCACACATTGTACCCATGTGGGGAATTGAACCTGTGTCTTCGTTGTGATGAGCAACCACTTTTACCACTAGGCTACCCCACTGCCCCTCTTCTCTCAGGTAGACAGTTGTGTTAACACTCAGTTTCTTCATGCAAGATTTGTATTTACCATTTTTGAGAAACGAGTTAATCAGCTTTTACACTGATCATCATGGGCACTGGTGGCCCAATTTTCCATGATGCCACAATTTGCTGTGCATAGTTGCTTCCCTTAGGCACGAAGGATACTATGATCATGGATTCAAAATCCCAGATTTGCTCTGATCTTGATTCCCCTATTGGTTCTCATATATTTGAAATATTTCGTCATGGCCTAGTACATTTTTTTTCATGACCCTCCCTGACAAGACAAAATGCAAAAGAACTTTATATTTTATTATATAATTTCCACATTTTCATGACCCTAAAATATTATCATTTTTATTACCCTCCCCAAGAGACTGTCATATTTATGAGTGACCCTCCCCTGATTCCCTCTGACCCAACCCCTCCTATAGTAAATGAAGTGTGAAACTCTACACAATATCCATTATTACAAGATTTTACTCAGTATATCCTTTTTTCAAAGATTTGCATGATAGATTATACAGAAGTTTAGATCAAGGCTGTATAACAATCATCTAGCTTCAGTACCTATATGTCTCTGATTGTATGCTTTGTGCGTGTGTCCTGGTCTCAACCTCCTCTTTTCAGCTTGTGTAGACGACTGGATGGTGCGGGTCCTGCTGTTTGAAAGGGGAGGCCACATTGTACATAAACCTCACTGTGATATAATAGTGGACCAAGTGCTGAGTATACTGCAGCACCTGAACCCAGCCTCATCATGATGGCCTGTTAATCATGTGCTGTGGATGTATGATCCTTTGTTATAGCAATGTATATATCTCATATTGCAATAGTGAGTAATCTATTGATATTTATTAGCTGAATGGAACTGAGACAGAAAGCAGGTTTCTGACCATCCAAGCTCCCTTTTCTCCAAAACAGCAGAATTTGTCTGTCCTATCATTACAGTCATTATGATGAGTTTATATTTTTTCTAAATCAAAATGGCCACCACAATGTGTCAGTTACAGCATTCATGCAGACCTCTTCCTCTGTAAAGTCATACCAGCTGACTTTCACATGTATATTAACTGAAAGAATGTTTTGAATGATTGATCTATCAACGTCTCTGTTCAAGTATACAAAAGTATCAAAACGTTTTCACTAAATGTTCAGAAAACTTGAAAAATATCAATGGAAACACATTGTACTCAATTTCAAGGTGGGGTGTGTGGGTATTATGGTTTCCAAATTATCCCAACCACACACACAGGTTTTATGTTACTGAATAAAGAAGAGCTTGTCTGATACTCGTGTTGAAATTATTGTTTTATTTCTTTGAAAAGAAATATTTTCTGCTTTACAGTGAAAAATATTTAAATCAAAATGCCTCAAAGCCTATTTCGTATTGGTTTGATTATAATTCCCGGATGTAAATAATTCAGCTCAAAGTTCAGCACCAGAAATGCTTCATTACATGAAATTCTAATAATTGTTGGGTCACTCATCGTAAGAAACTGTATCAAACAAATTTGGAACATACTGTGTTGTTGGGTACAACATATTTGTGCCGTTTTTGGGATATTTTTGAATTTATTGAACTGGTTACGATGTGTGAATCAGTCTTTCGACAGTCCTCATCTACGAAAGATGACCAAATGTTGCTACAACTAGGACTTCAACAACACAAACAACTGCAACCAGTATTTACATGGAGAGTCATACTAGACTACCAAGACTATTATATCTCCAGTCTAGTATAATGGGGACCCCGGAACTCATCTTCCTGAGGCAATAGTGCCAGGCTAGTTTCTAGACTTTGATACAGGGTGGTGGACACCTTGTTAACAAAACTTCTTTTAAGAATATTTCCATGAAATATCGGGAAGATAATTTTGCCTCATGGTTTGCATAAAGAGAAAACATGTTTGCTGGGCATGCTTTGTTGTCCTGAAAAATATTTACATTTTCCTGTCAGAGAAACATATTGTCTATAACAGAGATCCCAGCAAAAATGGTTGATATATGATTAAATGGACATCCCTGAAGTTAGATTCACTGTGATTGCGACCGTACTCGTGCTCTGAATGTTTTCATTTTAGGCTTTGGGGAAGCTGGGATTTAAACATAAAAATAAATTGTCTCCGAAGTTCTTGAAAAACATCATAATGCAACGGGTGGTCAGGTAGCCTTGTGGTTAAAGCATCCGCTCGTCATGCCAAAGACCAGGGCTCGTTTCTCGACGTGGGTACAATATGTAAAGCCCATTTCTGGTGTCCCCGCCGTGATATTGCCAAAAGCAGCGTAAAATCAAAAACTCACTTACTCACTCACTCACTCTTAATGCATGAGCTGTTGAAGAAAATTAAATTGTCGGCCACAAAAGTTACATGTGCTAGGTTAGATTCGTGGAACAATGTGATATAACTACACTTACTGAGGTATAATTACAGGTCTGATACCCCGCATGGCATTATGAGGCCCATTCATACAACATGAAAATCAAATGCAGTTTTTCCGAAATCAATAAAATTTTATTGTGATTCTGAAGATGTTTTTGTTAAAAATAAATACGTGCACACGTAGGCATTGTTAACACAATTTGTCCCAATGGGAACGAATAGTGCCGACGCGACATTGAACTTGTATACACCCATTCATTCAATTCATTGACAATGTGTATATTACAATTTGGTGAGTAGGTGAAACTGTACATACAATATTGCTGAGTGCGTCGTAAAACAAGAAACATACACATGTAAATGGCATTCATTGAAAAATGTTTACACATGTTCTCTGATATTCAAAACTAACGTTCCTTCAATCACGATCGAAACGACAAGATCCTAATGCACCGCGTGAAAAATTCTAGATTACCCAGTGTATTACATTTCGTTTTGAGTCTAAAGGACCCTCGCTCCACAGCGCTCCAATCAGATTACCCCCATGGACGAGAGACGGACTACTGACAGGGAACATGAAGATGGTGAAGTCACTTCTAAAACGAAGCTATGGGTATATGGGCCAAGGGTATTTGTCATAATAGAATGGCGACACAATAACTTGAAAGTCAAGGATGGCGAAAATGATTCCTCCCAGATTTCGATTGATAGAATCGCGTCCACGCCGCGTGCGGTTCTTGCGAACCGGTCGCGTCAGGATCGGGATCGAAGGGCGCTAGGTTTGAAGTGTCAGTAAGCATGCATGGCGACCATATCGTGTACATTTGTATAAATTTGACATGTAACAAGTGATGATCAAATTACATCCCGCAATCTGCATTATTGTGGAAATGCATCTTGTTGAGTGGAGATTTGTTACATGAGATGCTCACACTTTGTAATGCCATTGCCACACGTATAGGGTCATGATAACATGGGTCCATTCTAATCGCGATGTTGTTTAGGACACGCGGCCCACCATCATCCTTACATCAGGATATTGGAAGGAGGTTCTTGTTCTATATATAACAGACCTCGAATACATATCGGTAGAACAAGGATAACTGACTCGCCATTAACGTAGTACTATAGGTTTTGTTCGATTCGATAAAGGATGCATTGTTTAATCAACGTTTTGGCATCCCATTATTTGCAACGCGTAAGACTGCCGATTAAGTTCCACATAACTGTCTGGACTAATGCTGGAAATGTTACGCGCGCTACCAGCGGAGATTGTTTTACGACAATGTGCAACATTAGGAATACGTCTAGTAGGAAGAGTGTCTGTTTTGGTCAGGCGTCTGATTCATCAAATCCGAGGTCATGAAATCCCTCTAGTATAAGGATATTGGAAGGAGGTTCTTCTTCTTCTTCATCATCATCATCGTCATCGTCTTCAGCTAGAGATTGTATTTGTTGAATGAAGTCACGTAGTTTGGTAACCATCTCAATGTTTGGCTTAGTATTGTCATAGGTTTTAGTATCCAGAGAATATGAGAGCACCCCATACGCACCAATCTTTGTCTGTACTGACTCTGATATAGATGCCTGCTTTTTGGGTTTGTGACTATACACAGGTTCCACGATGACCAAGAATACGTCTTCGCCATCTGTGGTAAAGAAAAGTGGATATTTGGTATCATGTAGAACCAGCTTCATTGAGATAATATTGCCGTTTGTACACTAGCACATATCCCATTGTGCGTTGAGAATCGAAAAAGTAATATTTTGTATGTGCGTTAACAGTGATAAGTTCCTCTATCATCTGAATTCATAAACATAGGCATCATATGTATAACTGTGCTCGATGGAACGTTGGTAACTGTTGTAACCACCAAAATGCTATGTATCTCTGTTGTGCATGATCTATTTGTACTCTCTCAAACATATGACATGTCGTTATGTAATGCATCCGTTTTGTGTTAAGCAATGATCCATCTACATCTAGTCGGCCTCTAAATACCCGAGCCTTGGCCGGGCAATCCAGTCATGGACAGAAGCGTCCAGGCCCACTCGCCATCGAGGCACAATGGCACGCTGTTACCTGTCAAACCTTTTGACCAGTTGGCTATGACAGGCATGGGTCATGTGGACCTGTTTTGCCCCAAAATTCCCCCTGGATCGTGTCTCAAGTTCAAAGAGACAAAATCAGAATTTACTATGCACGAATTACCCCTACAAGGCGTTTGTGCCTTACCTCTGCTATGTCCGAGGACAGACTTGGCATCGGCATCGGGCATTGTGTAACATGGGCTAAACACGACCAAAGGGGACACCACGGCGGCTGTTTGGCGGCGACAAGCCTTCAGCTGGAATTTGCCATGTTCTTCTATGAAATGTACGGTGTCCTGTTCTAAGGGGCTGGTGTCGTCAAAGAAATAGAACACTGAAATCATATCAAGGTACATGGTCAAATGGAAGTAGGACATATACTCATATTTTAATGACAGATCTCAGATATATATTTGTATATCTGCCAAAGGTACATTTTATTCAGGCTCTGACATTTGTTAATATCATAACAAAAGAACCTGGTTAATCAGGAGCCGTCTGTATCGAATCTTCTTAATTTATGGGTAAATTAACCCTTATGGTTCATTCAGTGCTCAATGTTTCTATTCGCGAAGGACAATTACATGTTCCTGAGTGTATTTGGAAAAATAAGACAATCATGCATGTGGCCCAAAACTCGAGCATAAATCCTCCCCACCCCGATAAACAAACGGTCGGCCCCTCAGCGCGTGCAAATAAGAGGAGAGCCAAATGGCACGGCGCTCCTAAACGCTTACCATTGTAGTGAAACCCACTTTCACGACGGACAAAGAATAATTTGGGCGAATCGGTTTCCATGTGAACTTTATAACCACTACTTCACATATCAAGGGATTACCTGGGCTACGGACGTCCTTTAGGGCAGGTGTCGGTGGAGGAAAGTTTAAGTTGGCAGGCGTCTCTGGAGGTGGTGTACTGAAAGCATCTGCAAATGGGTCTCCTGAACCTTTGTTTGATGAATTCCCTCTAAGGTCGAAAAAGTCATCAAACTTGTCCACTGCTCCAAGCACTGGTTGCGTTCCTGCTGTCTGAAACGGGTCGACCGCCTGTGTGGGTTGCGTTCCTGTATGAAACGGATCAACCACCTGGTTGGGTTGTGTTCCTGCGGTCATGAACGGATCAACCGCCTGGGTGGGTGGAATTCCTGCAGTCTGAAACGGATCAACCGCCTGGGTTGGTTGACCTGGTTGAACTACAGTTTGCTGGGCGGGGGCTGCTTGAAAAGGGTCGACTGCTGGGGCAGGCTGACTTGGTGGAGTGAGGACAATCTCTGGAATTGGTTGAGTCTGTTGGATTGATTGAACATGAGGTACAGGCCGTACATGCTGAGGTTGTTGGGATGGCTGAAAGACTTGGATTGGCTGAGCATGTTCCTGCTGAGTTGATTGAACAAACTGAATGGGACGAGGATCGTTTTGTGGCGCTGCAGTAGAGGACGTTCCATCAACTTGATCTCCACTCTGCCCAACTGGGAAATGGGTTGCCCAGGGTTTACGATCTAGAGAGTGGTTTACTACCCGCTTTATTTCGTTCACAGCCAGTCCGTTTTCATTCTTATAACCTTTGAATTTCTCTTTGCCAGAAAAAAATATTGTGCATGCGGCCCCGACTCTGTTTCTTGTGGAGGTTGAGATGGGGTCTTTCAGATGATTCAAACTGTCTTTGTTTTTAGAATGCTCAACGGCTCGTTTTATCATCACTAGAAGCACATCTCTGCCGTCTGGCAACAAGAAAGTAGTCATTGTAACGTGAAGCAGTTATTGTCACATAAAGACGATGGTGATTATTGGCACCCTCAGGTTTGCACTAAGGTGCGTTATCTTAAACCATGAGAGTGTTGTTTGAGAAGACACATATGTCATATGACAAGATCGCTGAGCATTCGATGGAATGCACTGCGATGGTATTTGAAACAGGTACTAAATCTACATTTACTTGAAAAGTAATCCAACGTTTTTCAATTTGCACATTTCCATTTTATGTTAAAATTGAGTACCCACACGAATCAATTTCAAGACTACAATATGTCTGTATGAACGATGTGGACAGTATCACCGAAGTGTTGTTCGAACCTACATGAACTCTAGTCAGACAGTGAATGTCGACATCGATTGCAGAATAGTAATAGTACCTCTAGAGCTGTCGAGAAGAGCGTTGACATCAAGGTCAGTCTTATTGACCACGGGGCAGAGAATCACCAACAGTGGCTTGGCGTACTGGACCTCACGGACTTTAATGTGACTCAAGTTGATGTTGCAGCTCTTCTCGATGAACTTGACGGCTGCCACCAGGAGCGGTCCTTCTCCCGGGTTATCATGGTACAGGAACACTTTGCAAATAAACACATGCCTGGACTTCAGAAAGGAAGCATTGTGAATTCGTAATTAAGGAAAGCAACTAATTGGTAAATATTTACACCGACTCTATAGATAGCAAACAGGGTATCCTGAAGTAGACATGGTATATTGTAGCAGACATGGTATATTGTAGCACAGTATCTTTCAGCAGACAGGGTACATTGTAGCAGACAGGGTATATTGTAGCAGACAGGGTATAATGTAGCAGACAGAGCATATTGTAGCAGACAGGGTATATTGTAGCAGACAGGGTAAACTGTAGCACAGTATCTTTCAGCAGACAGGGTATATTGTAGCAGACAGGGTATATTGCAGCAGACATGGTATATTGCAGCGGACAGGGTATATTGCAGCAGACAGGGTATATTGTAGCAGACAGGGTATATTGTAGCACGGTGCCTTTCAGCAGACAGGGAATATTGTAGCACAGTATCTTTCAGCAGACAGGGTACATTGTAGCAGACAGGGTATACTGTAGGAGACAAGGTATATTGTAGCAGACAGGGCATATTGTAGCAGACAGGGTATATTGTAGCAGACAGGGTATATTGTAGCAGACAGGGTATACTGTAGCACAGTATCTTTCAGCAGACAGGGTATATTGTAGCAGACAGGGTATATTGTAGCAGACAGGGTCTATTGTAGCACAGTATCTTTCAGCAGACAGTGTATATTGTAGCAGACTGGGTATATTGTAGCAGACGGTATACTGTAGCACAGTATCTTTCAGCAGACAGTGTATATTGTATCAGACAGGGTATACTGTAGCAGACAAAGTATATCGTGACAGGCTATATTGTAGCAGACAGGGTATACTGCAGCAGACAGAATATATTGTAGCAGACAGGGTATATTGTAGTAGGGTGATTGTAACAGACAGGGTATATTGTAGCAGACAGGGTATATTATGGCAGACTCGGTCTATTGTAGCAGACAGTGTATTGTAGCAGACAGGGTATATTGTAGCACAGTGTCTTTCAGCAGACAGGGTATATTGTAGGAGGAAAGGGTATATTGTAGCAGACAGGGTATATTGTAGCAGACAGGGTCTATTGTAGCAGACATGGTCTATTGTAGCAGACGGGGTATATTGTAGCACGGTGCCTTTCAGCAGACAGGGTATATTGTAGCAGACAGGGCATATTGTTGCAGACAGGGCCTATTGTAGCAGACAGGGTATATTGTAGCACGGTGCCTTTCAGCAGACAGGGTATATTGTAGCAGACAGGGTATATTGTATCAGACAGGGTATATTGTAGCAGACAAGGTATATCGTGACAGGGTATCTTTCAGCAGACAGTGTATATTGTAGCAGACAGGGTATATTGTAGCAGATAGGGTGTATTGTATCATACAGGATATATTGTAGCAGACAGGGAATATTGTACCATATTGGGTATATTGCAGCAGACAGGGTATATTGCAGCAGACAGGGTATATTGCAGCAGACAGGGTATATTGTAGCACGGTGCCTTCCAGCAGACAGGGAATATTGTAGAACAGTATCTTTCAGCAGACAGGGTACATTGTAGCAGACAGGGTATATTGTAGGAGACAGGGTATATTGTTGCAGACAGGGCATATTGTAGCAGACAGGGTCTATTGTAGCACAGTATCTTTCAGCAGACAGTGTATATTGTAGCAGACTGGGTACATTGTAGCAGACGGTATACTGTAGCACAGTATCTTTCAGCAGACAGTGTATATTGTATCAGACAGGGTATACTGTAGCAGACAAAGTATATCGTGACAGGCTATATTGTAGCAGACAGGGTATACTGCAGTACAGTATCTTTCAGCAGACAGAATATATTGCATCAGACAGGGTATATTGTAGCAGACAGGGTAAACTGAAGCACAGTATCTTTCAGCAGACAGAATATATTGTAGCAGACAGAATATATTGTAGCAGACAGGGTATATTGTAGTAGGGTGATTGTAACAGACAGGGTATATTGTAGCAGACAGGGTATATTATGGCAGACTCGGTCTATTGTAGCAGACAGTGTATTGTAGCAGACAGGGTATATTGTAGCACAGTGTCTTTCAGCAGACAGGGTATATTGTAGGAGGAAAGGGTATATTGTAGCAGGCAGGGTATATTGTAGCAGACAGGGTCTATTGTAGCAGACATGGTCTATTGTAGCAGACGGGGTATATTGTAGCACGGTGCCTTTCAGCAGACAGGGTATATTGTAGCAGACAGGGCATATTGTTGCAGACAGGGCCTATTGTAGCAGACAGGGTATATTGTAGCACGGTGCCTTTCAGCAGACAGGGTATATTGTAGCAGACAGGGTATATTGTAGCAGACAGGGTATATTGTAGCAGACAAGGTATATCGTGACAGGGTATCTTTCAGCAGACAGTGTATATTGTAGCAGACAGGGTATATTGTAGCAGATAGGGTGTATTGTATCATACAGGATATATTGTAGCAGACAGGGAATATTGTACCATATTGGGTATATTGCAGCAGACAGGGTATATTGCAGCAGACAGGGTATATTGCAGCAGACAGGGTATATTGTAGCACGGTGCCTTTCAGCAGACAGGGAATATTGTAGAACAGTATCTTTCGGCAGACAGGGTACATTGTAGCAGACAGGGTATATTGTAGCAGACAGGGTATATTGTTGCAGACAGGGCATATTGTAGCAGACAGGGTCTATTGTAGCACAGTATCTTTCAGCAGACAGTGTATATTGTAGCAGACTGGGTATATTGTAGCAGACGGTATACTGTAGCACAGTATCTTTCAGCAGACAGAGTATATTGTATCAGACAGGGTATACTGTAGCAGACAAAGTATATCGTGACAGGCTATATTGTAGCAGACAGGGTATACTGCAGCACAGTATCTTTCAGCAGACAGAATATATTGCATCAGACAGGGTATATTGTAGCAGACAGGGTAAACTGAAGCACAGTATCTTTCAGCAGACAGAATATATTGTAGCAGACAGGGTATATTGTACCATATTGGGTGTATTGTAGCAGACAGGGTATATTGTAGCAGTCAGTGTATATTGTACCATATTGGGTGTATTGTAGCAGACAGGGTATATTGTAGCAGTCAGTGTATATTGTAGCAGACAGGGTCTATTGTAGCACAGTATCTTTCAGCAGACAGTGTCTATTGTAGCAGACAGGGCATATTGTCGCAGACAAGGTATACTGTAGCACAGTATCTATGAGCAGACAGGATATATTGTAGCAGACATGGTCTATTGTAGCAGACAGTGTATTTTAGCAGACAGGGTATATTGTAGCACAGTATCTTTCAGGAGACAGGATATATTGTAGCAGACATGGTCTATTGTAGCAGAAAGTGTATTGTAGCAGACAGGGTATATTGTAGCATAGTATATTTCAGCAGACAGGATATATTGTAGCAGACAGGGTCTATTGTAGCAGACAGTGTATTGTAGCAGACAGAGTATATTGTAGCACAGTGTCTTCAACAGACAGTGTATATTGTAGCAGACAGGGTCTATTGTAGCAGACAGGGTATATCGTGACAGTGTATCTTTCAGCAGACAGTGTATATGGTAGCACACAGGATATATTGTAGCAGATAGGGTGCATTGTAACAGGCAGGGCATATTTATCAGGCAAGGGTATATTGTAGCATATTTGGTGTATTGTAGCAGACAGGGTACATTGTAGCAGACAGGGTGTATTCTAGCAGACAGGGTATATTGTAGCAGACAGGGTATATTGTAGCACAATGTCTTTCAGCAGACAGGTTATATTGTAGGAGTCAGGGTCTATTGTAGAAGACAGGGTACATTGTAGCACAATCTCTTTCAGCAGACAGGATATTTGTAGCAGACAGTGTATTGTAGCGGAAAGGGTATATTGTAGCACAGTGTCTTTCAGCAGACAGGGTATATTGTAGGAGGCAGGGTCTATTGTAGCAGACAGCGTCTAAGGTAGCAGTGTCTTTCAGCAGACAGAATGAATTGTAGCAGACAGGGTATATTGTAGCAGACAGGGTATATTGTAGCAGACAGAGCATATTGTAGCAGACAGGGCATATTGTAGCAGACAGGGTATATTGTAGCAGACAGGGTCTATTGTAGCAGACAGTGCATATTGTAGCAGCCAGGGCATATTGTAGCAGACAGGGTATATTGTAGCACGGTGTCTTTCAGCAGACAGAATCGATTGTAGCAGACAGGGTATAGTTTAGCACAATCTCTTTCAGCAGACAGGATATTTGTAGCAGACAGTGTATTGTAGCAGACAGGGTATATTGTAGCACAGTGTCTTTCAGCAGACAGGGTATATTGTACCAGACACTGTTTATTGCAGCAGACAGTGCATTGTAGCAGACAGGGTATATTGTAGCACGGTGTCCTTCAGCAGACAGGGTATATTATAGCAGACAGGGCATATTCTAGCAGACAGGGCATATTGTAGCACACAGGGTGTATTGTAGCAGACAGGGCATATTGTAGCAGACAATGTATATTGTAGCAGACGGAGCTTATTGTAGCAGACAGGGTATATTGTAGCAGGCATGGTCTATTGTAGCAAACGGTGTATTGTAGCAGACAGGGTATATTGTAGCACAGTATCTTTCAGCAGACAGGGTCTATTCTAGGAAGCAGGGTCTATTGTAGCAGACAGCGTCTAAGGTAGCAGTGTCTTTCAGCAGACAGAATGGATTGTAGCAGACAGGGCATATTGTAGCAGACAGGGCATATTGTAGCAGACAGGGCATATTGTAGCAGACAGGATATATTCTAGCAGACAGGGTTTTATGTAGCAGCCAGGGTATATTGTAGCAGACAGAATATATTGTAGCAGACAGGGCATATTGTAGCAGACAGGGCATATTGTAGCAGACAGGGTATATTGTAGCTGACAGAATATATTGTAGCAGACAGGGTTTTATGTAGCAGACAGGGTCTGTTGTAGCAGACAGATATTTTTGTAGCAGACAGGGCATATGGTAACAGACAGAATGTATTGTAGCAGACAGGGTATATTGTAGGAGACAGGGTATATTATAGCAGACAGGGTATATTGTAGGAGACATGTCCAAACACATCCAGTAGGATAGGTTAATTCAGTTTAGTGTTAAAAAATGTGTCGAGGTCCAAGATTTTTCAGATATTCTAAATATATATAAACTGCATTGTTCACTTTACTGAAAGTAGCAAATTCAGTCGACAATTTAGATAAAGTTGTGAGCAGGACATACACAGGTTTGTTATAGGGTGTTAGATATGTGCGCTACCAACCATGTCCATTTACGAAATATTAACATCTCCAAGACTACGTCTTTTTTTAATAAAACCAGACTTGGACTTGCAGAATCTACACTGTTTATCACAATATTAATCTGATACAACATTTAACAGAATGAATGTGGACAGTTGCAGTTATGATATTGTAAACAAAAACAACACAATAGTGAAACCTCGTTAATCCGGACCCTATTAATCACCCCCGTCAATGTTGGGTGATTAAAAAATATTGCTCCTGGGTACGCTAACATATGTGGAAAATGACTTTATGCCAAGGTTTCGTTAATCGGGACAATTTTTCGAAGGTGAACTGTGTGGGTTAGCGAGGGTCCACTGTAGATATTTTTTCATGCATACTCACCATTCCTTCTCGAAAAATTAGGATCCATGTTTAATCCCACCTAGCTTATGACTTTTTTACACTGAAATAACAAACAAAGAGTTATTTAGACGCTTACTCCGAAGCGAAAACCACAATAGCGTGAAGTATGCACAAGTTATGTCGATATCATCACCTGATAAGATACGTGACGGGATATCACAGATCTATTACAGATGATATCGGATATATATTATGCTGATGGATGGCTTGTATTTAGAGTCACATTCGTACATTCTTTAAACATCTAGCCACAAAGGGAGGTCGGGTAGCCTTGTGGTTAAAGCGTTGGCTCGTTACGCCGAAGACCCAGGTTCGATTACCGTTATGGTTATGATGCGTGAAATAATTTATGGTGGCCCGCCGCCGTGTAGAAGGTTGCAAAAAGTGGAATAAAGACACACTCACTCACCCCCTCGCCCACTGACTCACTCACCTACCCACTCACTCTCAAACACCCACCCACCCACCACACCACACTAATTCATTTACCCACCCACCCTCCAACTCACTCACTCGAGCCTATGCAGTTTGTATATGTGTGCGTGTGTGTGTGTGTGTGTGTGTGTGTGTGTCTGTGTGTCTGTGTGTGTGTGTGTCTGTCTGTCTGTGTGTGTGTGTGTCTGTCTGTCTGTCTGGTTCTATATGTTGCGTTATATCATAAGTCCATGTCATACTACCCATGACCCGTGAAGATCCGGGGTCTTCAGCAACCCTTGCTTGTCGTAAAAGGCGACTATGACAGTCGTAAGAGGCGACTAGAGGGATCGGGTGGTCAGGTTGATGCATGTCATCGTATCCGAATTGCGTGGATCGATGTCAAACTAATACCCAGATGTTCTGTGCGTCATCAGGAACTGTCAGTACAACCCTATGACGCAGAGCTTGATTAGGCACTGACTCACTTCGTCTGTCTGTCTAAATATAGATAAGGTAACAATCTACTTTCACTTCACTTTCTATTTCAGTACTTTTTCTGATCACTTCGCATCTATTGGATGTCTAGAGAACCATGTCGAGTTGGTAGATGACCGCTATACGTCTGTATGTTGAATGATAGATATGCGTCTGTATGTTGAATGATAGATATGCGTCTGTCTGTTGAATGATAGATATGCGTCTGTCTGTTGAATGATAGATATACGTCTGTCTGTTGAATGATAGATATGCGTCTGTCTGTTGAATGATAGATATACGTCTGTCTGTTGAATGATAGATATGCGTCTGTATGTTGAATGATAGATATGCGTCTGTCTGTTGAATGATAGATATGCGTCTGTCTGTTGAATGATAGATATGCGTCTGTCTGTTGAATGATAGATATGCGTCTGTCTGTTGAATGATAGATATGCGTCTGTCTGTTGAATGATAAATATGCGTCTGTCTGTTGAATGATAGATATAGTCTGTCTGTTGAATGATAAATATGCGTCTGTCTGTTGAATGATAGATATGCGTCTGTCTATTGAATGATAGATATGCGTCTGTCTGTTGAATGATATATATGCGTCTGTCTGTTTAATGATAGATATGCGTCTGTCTGTTGAATGATAGATATGCGTCGGTCTATTGAATGATAGATATGCGTCTGTCTGTTGAATGATAGATATACGTCTGTCTGTTGAATGATAGATATGCGTCTGACTGTTGAATGATAGATATACGTCTGTCTGTTGGTGATGGATATATGTCTGTCGGTCGACAAGAGACGTACGATTGTTTTGTCTTTTAACAATTTAGTAAATATAATAATATATTGGGTTGTTTATTTAACGGAACATCGTACTAATCTTAACGCTATGTAACAACACATGCGACGCGAAGTAGACAATGCCTTGTACTTTGACCTTAGCTTGTGAAGTTAACAGACATGCAGTGAACAAGCCGCATACACGCTAAAACACATGCGTCGTCACAGTCATCGGGTGGGGTCCGACAATGCACAACACAATGAGTTTCTGTCTATGTCAATGTTTCACACAAGATATTATGTACCTTTTCAAGATCTTATCAACATTTTTTTTTACCTCTATATCAGCATTTCGTTCCAAAATGTTCAAATTGTTTGCATATTAAAGTAGTAATTTAAATTTAAAATATTTTTCAAGTATGATCTTTTTTACAACTATAATCAATAATAAGAAAACAGTTATGTGTAGATGTGTAATCACTGACTTTTAAGGGGAATTGTAGTGAATAAAACGCAGAATTATTTGTAATATTTCAAACATAATCAAAACATAAATAAGCACATCGATCATAGCTGAAATAAACACGGGCGTCCAGCAACACGTGAAAAGTACAGATAATTAAACACATAAATTCTGATATATTACCAACCTGATAAAATTAGTTAAATCGACAGTCCACCATTCGTCCCATTGCAGGCATATCCTAAGAAAGGCACATTTTCCTGATTAGGGGGCGTTTCACGAGCTGGGTGAAGGTCACGTGATAACGATGTCTGTATCATATTTACCCTGGCGAGATCATCACAGTTCGTGACGAAGGGAGATATAGTTTCGTGCTCGGCTGTGTGGTGATAGCGACTTAAACCTGTTAGACTTACTAATAGGCGCAGATTCAATTTCATAGCTTTGAAGGAGTGTCTAAATAGTCTGTAGTGCAGTGTATATCATCACACTACTCTAACCCATATGTTTCGTTCATAAATGAAAATGACAAAGAGTTATGTTTTTTTCAATCTGAAGTTTTCACGCTATACGACTTTTTCAGTGGTCCTGACGTCGGTCACATGCCTTTCGAAACTGATTTTCATGAGCGGAAGAACCGCAAAGATCCGGGTTTGAACTGGTCTTCAGCAACCCATGCTAGCCGTGAGAGGCGACTAACGGGATCTGATACTCAGGATCGATGACTTGGTTGATGTGTGTCATCGTATCCCAATTGCGTAGATCGATGCTCATGATGTCAACCACTGGATTTTCTGGTCCAGAATCGATTATTTATTTACGCACCGTCTTCATATAGTTGGAATATTGCGGCGTTAACCAACCAACAACAAACAAACCCTGTACAGTCTGTTAAATGTCCTAGCCAAGGATTCATCCTAAACAGCAAACTTCACACTGTAGTTGTCGAGTCAACAGCATTCTGCCACTCAAACAATTACTCAACCAACCACTCACCTGACAAGTGACTTAAAAACGCATCCAACCACTTTTTCCGCCTCGCTCACACGAACATTCAAGTCAGTTACTTTTAAAACCTATCACTCAGCCAATCAGAAACTAAATCACGAAACTGACAAGTTAAACTAATCAACCGTTCACTCGACCACTTACGCAACCACTAAATCAATCACTCAATCAACTACTCATCCTACAATTCAACCACTAATCAATCACTCAAACAACCACTCATCCAACAATTCAACCACTAATCAATCACTCAAACAACCACTCATCCAACAATTCAACCACCAAACAATCACGCAATCAACCACTCATTCAACAATTCTCAATAACTCAAACACTTATCAAACCACTAAATCAATCACTCAAATAACCACTCATTTAATCAATCATTCAGTCATTCATCCAATCATTCAACCACTGACACAACCACTTACCAATTTGGTGAATCCACCGAGCACAAGTACGGTCCTCACAGACTGAGGACCATAATCCAGGCAAACTCGCAATCAGCAGATGCTGACGTGACGAAGGGGCACAACTCTGCATTGTATTTTGTCGCCTCAGACTACTGGGTCAGTCATGTGCCACTTAAAACGCAGATTGTTTATTATTAAGAACTGAAACATAAGTTAGGACTGCCTGGAGAGACGTAGTCGTTTCGAATATGTTTACCCAGCAACTGAGCCTTGAACCATTGCTCGGGCAATAGCCAGTTGCATCAGCGAATTGCGTCAACCACGTTCCAGATATACGTTTGTATTTCCAATGCAGTAATGCGGCCAGCACGTTTGAGTCAGATAATGTGCCCAGTGAAACTCCTAGTGGTGTGCGACCGCTGGTCTAGTGGTAAAGGGTCTGCCCGTAGAGTGGAAGGTTCGGGGTTCGATCCCAGGCAGCGTCATACCAAAAGACGTTAATAGATGGAATTTGTTGTTACCCTGCCTGGTGCTCGGCATTAAGGACATAAACAAGAACTGGTCGGCTCGGAGTCAGTATACTCGGATTGAGTGAGGTATTCATGTTAAAGGGCGGCATGATATCTCAGTGGGCTAGCACTATAAAATCGGCATTAATCCGGACTAGTACACACACACACACACACACACACACACACACACACACACACACACGTCGCTATGTAAGTGTTATAATCTTACTATACTATAAAGTCCATTTCTGGTGCCAACTGCCGTGATATTGCTGGAATATTGCTGAAAGCGGCATAACACCCTACTCACTCACTCACTCATGTATGTGATCTTAAAACAACAGTGATGCAGAGCTTCAAAAGCAGCATGATTATAGGTATGAGTATACTTATGATGTAAGGGATGTTCGGAGCAGAGTAAACAAATCGACACAGTCCATTTACTGTGGACCATACTGTTTGTTTGTCTGATTGTTGTTTAACGCCGCACTCGGCAAAATATTACAGCTATATGACAGCGGTCTGTAAATGATTGAGTCTGGACCAGACAACCAAGTGATTGACATCATGAGCATCACGCAATTGGGATACGATGGGATACGATGACATGCATCAAACCAAGTCAGCGAGCCTGACCACCCGATCCTGTAGTCGCCTTTTACGGCAAGCGTGGGTTGCTGAAGACCTATTCTACTCTGGATCTTCACGGATGGAGATCTTCACTGGACTCTTCAGTCTATTAATGATACTAGACCCTCATATAACCTGCAATTTGCAGTGGGGTAAGTGTATAGGTTTGGAACCTAACAAGAAAAATAATTTGCATGATACGAAGCAGTTAAAATCCAGGCCTCGTCAAATGTTGCTAATTTTAGCTAAACAACCAGAAACAAAAGGGATCACACACTCGCAATATTCGAGATTCATTATGCCCAGCCGGGGAAGGTGAGAAATTTAAAACTCAAAAAGTTCTGAAACTGATCTTGAAAAAACAGAAAGTCCCAACGTGAGCGTACCACCTGACCTTATGGATCGGGTGGTCAGGTTCGGTGACTTGGTTGATTGTGGATAGTTACACATAATATCAATCACTGGTTTATCTGACCCAGACTCGATTATGTATAGGTTGTCTTCATGTAGTTGAGCAACAAACAAACACAAAGACATGACATAAGATCAGGAGTGGTGTGTCGAGAAGCGCTGATTGTTCCGTTATTGTCGTTAATCGTAGTATTGGTAGTAGAATTATATATTTCATGAATTAAACCATTTTCTGCATAGGCACATGCGACATGTCTTACTGTGAACCTCATTGGTCTGTTTCCTATGGAATACTGTAAGGGACATTCTCGCGATCTCGCATTCTCGCGATCTCGACCTTTGGAAACGAGGTAAATATGCCCAAAACACGAGAATGCGAGATCGCGAGAACGCGAGATTTGGCCAAAATCTCGCGTTCTCGCGATCTCGCATTCTCGTGTTTTGGGCATATTTACCTCGTTTCCAAAGGTCGAGATCGCGAGAATGCGAGATCGCGAGAATGTCCCTTACAGTATTCCATAGTTTCCTGATCAACAGAAACGACATAATGTACAGCTCGTCCATCTGCTGTTTTGTATCATAGCCACATCTACGCAGAGCTGTCGTCCAGAGAAGCGTGCATAAAATACTATCTAACAAACTAATACAGATTGAAAGCGTGTCTCGATTCAAATGAGTTGTACTCGGGTACTTGTGTTTAGGTACCAACCTAGGTCACTTGTCTAGTTATAAAACTAACCCTGATATAACCATGTTATTATAAACTAGAACAGTAATGAGTGTATCCATTCGTTGTACAAGCCCATGTCCCGATGGTAAAACAATGACAAATTACAATACCTCCAGTTGATATCGTAAACTTGTTATACAGCTGATATGGTAGTTTAAATACACGTCATAAAGTTACTACATACACTAAAAGGGTATTGAAATACAAATGAGAGTTTACACAATGTAATCTGATTGGTTGAAACACGCTGCAAATTGGAATTCAAAGCCCGGTACTATTTTAAACTTGTCGCCCCTTTTTATCGGGTTTTATTTAAGTATAATTGTATTCTCAGTTAGTGTTTTTCGGTGACGCATGCACTTTGCGTTCATTCTGTGTATGCTGGTTGCTGAGCACGTCTAGAGCAATGGAGTAACCGTAATCATTTCGCATTTACAATGTCCATTAATCAAATGATTTCAGTACTTTCAAAATGTACGACTGTCGGGGGCGGTTCCAAATCATATTTACAGGCTTCCTAACACCCGCAAACCATGGAAACACGTAATTCTGGTCTCCTAAATATAAACACCACTTGTATCGCCATAGCGTACAATGATAGCATGGAAAGACAAATTTCCAATAAGGCCTTATGACAGTAAACGGTGATCCGCATGAACTTTTATTGGTCTAGCAAGAACCTATATGTCTGAATAATAGACACTGCAAACACTACGGAGTCTACATTATTTTGGTGTATTGATAGCCTGACTCGAGTCTACTTACAAAGACATAACCCGAAAACATAACACCTCAGTTCAAAGGAAATTATATCTTCTATAGACGTCGGAAATTGTATAACTTCTTATACTGCTTTTGTACTCGAGCTTTGATTTGTTCACACGAGATATACATATACTGTGTTTGTTACTTTTTTATATATCCTTGGCTACACACTGGCGGCTTTCATCTCTTGCTATATAAGTACAAGTAACAACACAACTAGCTGATATCCTATGACACTTGTAACAATGACGGTTTCTTTAAGAGAAGTGAGTGTACATGTTAGGTGATGAGCAAACTCCGGGTCAAAGACTTGGGCAGTAATACCCTAGCTGCAGGGGACCAGGCCTGACGAGTCGCGGCAGGTGGATGTAGGTCGGTGGCAGAATTGATGTTTGGATGGAAGATGTTACTATAGCATGTGGAGGTCCATTTTGCATCAGCCTACTAACCCAAGCTGAATCTTTTATTGAAAACACGTCGTATTATACCTCTATCTGAATAGTTTAGAGAATACAGTGACCTAATCACACGTCTGGTGCTACCGTTAGTTGAATAGTTTACAGAATAACGTGACCTTATCACACGTCTGGTGCTACCGTTAGCTGAATAGTTTACAGAATACCGTGACCTAATCACACGTCTGATGCTACCGTTAGCTGAATAGTTTACAGAATACCGTGACCTTATCACACGTCTGATGCTACCGTTAGCTGAATATGTTACAGAATACCGTGATCTACTCCAACAACTACTGCAGCCCAGATGAATACCGTGATCTACTCCTACATCTACTATGGTATAGATGAATACCGTGATCTACTCAAACATCTACTGCAGCCTAGATGAACCCGTGATCTACTCCAACATCTACTGCAGCTTAGGTGAATCAGTGATCTACCCCAACATCTGCTGCAGTCTAGATGAATACCGTAATCTACCCCAACATCTACTGCAGCCTAGATGAATACCGTAATCTACTCAAACATCTTCTGCAGCCCAGATGAATACCGTGATCTACTCCAACATCTACTGCAGCAAAGATGCATACCGTGATCTACTCCAACATCTACTGCAGCCAAGATGAATACCGTGATCTACTCCAACATCTGCTGCAGTCTAGATGAATACCGTGATCTACTCAAACATCTACTGCAGCCTAGATGAATACCGTGATCTACTCCAACATCTGCTGCAGTCTAGATGAATACCGTGATCTACTCAAACATCTACTGCAGCCTAGATGAATACCGTGATCTACTCCAACATCTGCTGCAGTCTAGATGAACCCGTGATCTACTCCAACATCTACTGCAGTCTAGATGAACCCGTGATCTACTCCAACATCTACTGCAGCCAAGATGAATACCGTGATCTACTCCAACATCTACTGCAGCCTAGATGAACCCGTGATCTACTCCAACATCTACTGCACTCTAGATGAATACCGTAATCTACCCCAACATCTACTGCAGCCTAGATGAATACCGTAATCTACTCCAACATCTACTGCAGCCAAGATGAATACCGTGATCTACTCCAACATCTACTGCAGTCTAGATGAATACCGTGATCTACTCCAACATCTACTGCAGCCAAGATGAATACCGTGATCTACACCAACATCTACTGCAGCCAAGATGAATACCGTGATCTACTCCAACATCTACTCCAGCCTAGATGAACCCGTGATCTACTCCAACATCTACTGCAGTCTAGATGAATACCGTGATCTACTCCAACATCTACTGCAGTCTAGATGAATACCGTGATCTACTCCAACATTTGCTGCAGCCTAGATGAATACCGTGATCTACTCCAACATCTACTGCAGCCTAGATGAATACCGTGATGTTCTGTTATTCTGCGATGCCTTTGCCTGCCAAAGAAAGAATATTTGCCACATATGGTAAATGCATGATTAAGTAAATCACAAAGGAATGTAAAGTTTTCTTCACTCAAATGATGTAAATACTGGCCCTCTTTATCAATCACATTTTCAAAAAATAATGCAAGCCTTGTGAATTTATGTTGATGTTCTGTCAGTCACGTGACTGCATTTGTCCATTTAATTGTACTCTGGGCCACAAGGCCGAAATACTGAATAAACACGGCTGTATATCTGTCAACAATAGGTTCCCTTAACGAAACATATTCCTCACATTGGTCCCCTCATATCACACTAATCTCAACCTATATCTCACATTGGTTCCCTTAACGAAACATATTCCTCACATTGGTCCCCTCATATCACAACTAATCTCAACTTATATCTCACATTGGTTCCCTTAACGAAACATATTCCTCACATTGGCCCCCTTAACTCAACCTGTCTCACGTTGGTCTCGTTATCTCAATCTATGTCTCACCACCGATCTCCTTATCTCAACCGTGTCTCACACTGCTACCGTCAACTCACCCTAAGTCTCACATTAGATCCTTTATCTCAATCTATATCGCACATTGAAGCCTTATCTGAACATATATCTCACGCAGGTCCCATTAACCCAACCTGCGTCGCACACTGACCCCCCTCATGTAACACATGTCTGATATCGGTCCCCTTATCTCAATTCACGTCTCACACTAATCCCTAAACTCTAACTGTGTCTCACACTGATCTTCTTATCTCAACATGTGTCTCACACTTACCTCCTTATCGCAGCCCAATGTGTCCCAATAACTGGCATGTGTCTTATATTGGTTCCCAACCTATGTCGCACACTTATCATCTCAACTCAACCTGTCTCACACTTATCGCCTTAACTCAACGTGTGCCTTAAACTGTTTACCTTGACCCTGCCTAAATCTCACTTTTTCACAAATGTTTGTGACGGATGCCACTGGTGGTCGACATACATTACCTTTTCGCGAACACCTGGTGTCATCACTATTTGATTTAGAAACACGTGCTTATGATATAGTCGGAATAAGTTCTTATGAATATGGAAAGGCTTTTTGTCGCATTCTTTCATTAACATCAGTTGAAGGGCCTGAAGGTTATTCCTGTTCCTGTTATTCCCACTTATTTGACCCATCGACCCGTTGTATTGCTTTTTTATTATAAATCTGAAACTGTGTTTAAATATAATATTTATTGATTATTCATTGGTCTTGTTTGGTCATTTACTGATTTAACAATTCAGTTCTCTCCGACAACCTGGGTACTACTCGCGTGAAATGCTCACGAAGCACGAAAAGAACGCTGTTTCAATACAAGGCTTCTCCGATAATAATTCTTGCCGCCTAGCTCTATTAATTGCACAGTTTCTTATGGTACACTTCATTATGGCGTGGCCCTATCTGCGACCACTTGAACAAGCACTCAAGATGTACGAGGGAACACTATGACTGGGTAGTTTATTAGGGGATTACAGTGCAACACAGTGGTAAGTTTCACATTATGTCGCCTGAGTTGAGGCAGGGTTTGTTGACGAAAAAACGTTACGAGTGTTTATGTGCGACGCTGACAACACGTTCAAGCTTGTAGCTCAAATGTAATAATTCCTGTTCTAAGTGTCTATTTTTTCCAGGCAATGTACTTTGTGAACAACAAACACCCCATCATGAAACGTGGTGCTATGAACACACCATGAGGTTGCGTTCTTGTGCATGCGTCCCTTAACTGTTGAGTTACAATGTATAATTATTTGTAACCCAGAAAAACATCCAAGCATGTTTTCGTGAAAATATTAAAATACTTTCTCGGTCGTTCTGCCTTTGACGAACATGTATGCCTTGAAACGCCATTCCCTAAGAATACACTTTGTCCTGACTAACCATACGTTTCTAGGAACAAGAATCATTTGTGACTGTAATTTCAATTTATTAAGTTACAACGTTGATTTTATTCCTAAAACAGATAAAGAAAATAAAGTTCGAGTTGGTGGTGATAGTTGTGGTCGCTTCATTGTTTGTGTCCGCATACCCCGACAATGTGGATGTCTGGTGATCTCATGCACCGTGGATGTAGCTGGAGCAGACCCTGACACAAGCCTGAACAAATTGATAAGGGACTGGTCATTTCTTATAGGGTGTGTGGGGGTAGGGGGGTGGTCTAAGGACTGTATCATATTTTGTTGTACCCCTCCCCCATTTTATGTAACATTTTTTCATGGCCCATCTTTTTTGTATTGGAAAAAAGGGGAACTGTGTTATTTGTTCATAACCCAAAAGGTCTTTCCCTTTGTCTTTTTTCTCATTTCCCATCTTAATCACACACTCACACGCACCCACGTACGCACGCGGCCACCCGAGCACACAAATACACACACACACACAACAATCTCATTAAAATCATATCGTAATTCCCGCTATCGCTAAACAAAGATCTGAAGACATCCCATTACACACACACACACACACACACACACACACACACACACACACACACACACACACACACACACACACACACACACACACACACACACACACACACACACACACACTATAGTAAAACACAAGTCAGTCCCTAGCCGTTCTGTTGGTTGAATTGATATCCCATGTCATGCCTTCCGTCACATTGTTTCTTTAAACCATGACATCTGTGCCTTCAGTTTATGTAACATTACTGACACGTATTTCAGCCAGAAAAAAACACTTACCAGTATCATTGTACACGTACAATACTAATATTACACCACTAAGGCGGAACACTGACAACGACTCTTGGGGACTATGTAAATATATCGCACTAAAATAATGACTCTTCACGGCAAACAATACGGCGCTGTGGTCACATGGCTTGACAACAGACTACTATAAATGTGTGTTAGCCTGGGTGCTGTTTCATCCCCTCGCCGTTTAGCCGAAGAACTTCAACATGAAAGTGGTGTTGCTCGCTTGTCTTCTACTGGGTGAGTTTATTCACTTACATAGTGATGCAGCAATGCACAATCCGTGGTTGAATATCATATATGCAACATTTTAAAACTAGGTTTTTTTCAGTGTGTTTCAGTACAAACTACAGTATAGAAACAATAACACGAGGTAAAAAGTGCAGTTAATGTACAATTAGAATAACACTAATTAAGGACGTAAAGATGGGGTATATGTCATGTATTTAGCACATAATGATAAGGTTTCAGTGTTAGAAGTTTGTAGTAAATGCCTAAATGAGAGAATATTCATTTTTTTCAATTAGTGTTGCAAAAATTTGAGTGTCTTAAATTAATATAAACTGGGCATACTAACATAAATATTACTCATCTTCGATTTTTTTTTACAAAAAGGCCAAAATCGGAGGTTTCTAGCAATACCCTCCCGCCTAACTATATTTTTAATTATTTGTAAATTCTCCAATTCTTAATAATGTAAATTATCTTGTTGGTCTTTTGATTTGATTTTGTATCCAGTAATGATCCATGGGGACTTGATATAGTGATGGAGGCGGTGACATGCAGCCACCCTCGGTGATACTGTTGGATACTGTTAGGCAGCTGTGCAAATCGCAGACACTCCTCCAAGTAGTGTTTTAGCTCCATCAACCATACCATTCAGCATTACTAAGTAGATCATTAATGTGGACCAAAATTGTGGTGTGGCAGATATGATCCATTGTGATCCATTTATACCTTCAAAAGTTCTGTACAATATTGGCGTCAAATATTGAAAAAGTACAAAGAGAAGTAATGGCTGTAACAGTTGGGCATCTAGGATTAAGCATGCATGACAGGTCTATTGTTTCGGATTTGTTTGGCAAGAACAGACAGAAGAAGAAGTTTATTCAGGAATGAAGGCCACATGGCCCAGAGTTCATTTACAGGAATAATATATACTATGCACATGCACAAATTTTCTTACAACAAACGTTCATCTTATTTTACATTTGTATTTACATAGGTAAATGTCTTTTTAAATATATGGACAGGTTTTTCATAATACAATCATTTCTGGTAGATAGAAGAATTTTGGGACAGATGGTTGCACATGGTAGCATTTTGGAATTAAATTTTCTCTACTACTTTTAAAAAAAGCGCAAATTTACAAAAAATGGTATTCATTTTCTATTTCATAGCGGTTACATTTCATACATAAACTAAACGATGACGCTGTGGTTGTATTAAATCGAGTTTTCTGTACATTTAGATTATGGCTTAAACAACGGAATTTACATAAAGCTCTAAAAGATCTCTTTCACATGCTAAAGTAGACAGATATTTTTCTGGTTCGAGTAATGATTTATAAGATGAATAAACCTCAAGGAAAGAAGAATTTGTGATTTTGTAAAGCCAGTTTTGGAATTCTACATCTTTACATCGTTGTTTGAATATAACCATGAAGCATTTCATATCGCCGCAATCCTGAGACAACCACACATATGAAAACCCAGTTTGAAATAATTATTGTCTTATATAAGAAACCCAGTTAGTTGGACCATTTTCGTCAAATGCTTTTAACATATGGTAACAGGAATACGGATATCTAGTTTCATGTAATCTAAGAAGTCGACACCAGTACTTGATACAACGACTGTAATAGTGTAAACACAATGATGTTCTTCACAGCACTTCTAGAATTGCATTTGTCGATGTTCTTTTACCAACGGAAAAAACATTTTTTAAGAAATTACTCTGAACCTTTTCAATGCCTTTTCTATAGGTACATCCCCAAATTTCTGAGCCATATAAAAGAACAGGAGCAATCTTTGAATCAAATATTTTATTGTTTGGCAAGAACAGATGGTCAAAATGAAATATTATTTTTCATTACTTTTTAGGTAGATTTAAAGTTTCGCATCAAGAAGATGGGTATCCTACATTATTAAATGATATGAACACATTAGGGTTCTCCTTGTACCATATACCCTCATTGTGAGCCTTTACAACTGGTTCACATAAAATAGCAATAGAAATTGGCAGGTATTTTGGAGAAGTTAGAAATGAGAGATTATGTACCATCTGAAACTACAATATATAGAAGATGAATATCACTACTTACTCATTTGTAACAAATATCGAGTATTGCGACGTTTGTATGTTCCTTTAAATCTTTGTAAATATCCAACAATCCACAATTTTTAAACTTAAAAACAATATTTTAAAAAATCTGGTTTTGCAGCTGAAGCTGAAACAATATCTAATCTCGTGGCAATATCTCAGGTGACCCTTAGGGTTAGCGAGGTCACACTAAGATCTAACGGAACAGTGATAGATGAATGTGCTCGTTTGGTAGTCCAACGTTGACACACAAAGTACATCCGTGTTGCAGCAATTGTGTGCCATTCGATGGTGTCAGCAACAAGTACATCATCATCCACAGGCCCCACCAGCACCAACACAACCACAGCCGGAAATGGTGGTGAGTTTATCTTGTGCGAATATTTGAAAGTCTTCACTCCTCATGTATCTCTACTGGAGGATGAAACTGAGATTGTTTTATTCGCCTATCTCTCTTTATCTCGGTGTAACGGACGTTACAGATATTCATTGATGTGATAAATCCTGGTATGATACTGTCCCTGGAACGGAGGGGTAGACAAGTGGTTAACGCGTTGGTCGCCTAAAAAATATGGTTCGATTCCCCACATGGGCACAATATGCCACCGAACCCCTGAAGATCCGGGTAGAGAATAGTTCTCCAGCAACCCATGCTTGCGTAAGAGGCGGCTGTGCTGGTCGTTAGAGTTGATTAACGGGGTCGGGTGGTCAGGCTTGCTGACTTGGTTGATGCACGTCATCGTGTCACAGTCGCATGATGTCAATCACTGGATTGTCTGGTCCAGACTCGATTATTTACAGACCGCAGTGATTTAGCTGGAATATTGCTGATGGCGGCGTTAAACAACAAATCACCAAACAATGTGTTTCCGTCTTATCAGGCACATACATACCATACTGTTGACATTTGTCTATCCTCGTGCACTATTAATTTGCAATTTATAAACGTAATTGTTCTGTAATATGTTCGGGATACATTATAGATATTCTTTTTCCATTCTTTCCGTATATTTTAAAAACATATACAGGAACATTGTTTTTTTATCGAGAATGTAAAACAAGTGATGTTGTTTGATGGTATCAACGTCAGACTCAATGAACTGTTTCAGGTAGTGAGACAACGGTGTCACTGATTTTCATGGTGACTTCCGTTCTCTTGGCCATGAGGTAGCGTGAGCACTTCGATGATCGACCACGACCCCTGACCTTCTGCTGACGCCTGACCTCCGACTTCCGCTAACTTCTCCCCTCTGCTGACGCCTTTGTCACCGCCGTGACAACAGTGGTGCTTCCATGACGTGGGAAAGCCGTGACCACTGATAGCACCCTGTCGTTATTTTACCAAACGATTAAAGTTTTCTTTTCTTAAAAACAGTGACTGTCTTTTTTGTTATGCATTGGCGCTGAAATTCTGAGAGAGCGAGAGCGAGAGAGAGAGAGAGAGCGATAAAGCGAGAGAGAGAGCGAGAGCGAGAGACCAGAGCGAGAGACCAGAGCTTAGCCATAAGTAGTATGGCACTGTCAACAACAGAACACTTTAAGATGTGACATACAGATATTGAAGGTGTTACAAAATGGAGTCAACTAAGGGGGAAAAGAATACAAATGCACACATATGTTTGTAAGATTTACTTCAAGCGATCACAAAAAGGTAGGAAATTGCAACGTTTTTCACAGTACATGGAAGATTTTACGGTAGGCAAGGATATACAATATACTAGTCCGGAGTTTGACATGTGTGCGTGCGTGCGAGAAATGTTTATTTTTGTTTTTTTGGCTTGTTTTTGTGTATTGTTTAACGCCGCACTCAGCAATATCCACGGACGACCCTTATGCAAAGTTTTAAAGTCACACAGAGACTCGCTTTCGCATACATGAAAGCCTGAACATATAATCAAGGAAGCATGCACGCACACGCACACACGCACGCACGCACACACACACACACACACACACATGCACGCAAACACATACACACTCACACATATACACATACATGTGTGTGTGTGTGTCTTTGGTTAAAATAATATCAGGAAAATTCTTTTGAAGATTACGATTAATTACAGAGATTCTAGGCTAGGACATTTCTACTAAAGAAATAAAAAAAAATTAAAAATTAAATCATAAAAAAGGTGTCGATACCGACGAGTATGTAAGGGGTTTTATTACCCACGAGGGCAAACATATCGGGGTTCATAAAAATCACATGTGCCTCTGGGGTCATATCACGTCACGAGACAACAGTGTATTGTTTCCGTCATCCGGACGACATTGTTGACGTCATTCGAATCTTATGGTGACATGAGGTCGGAGTGACATCGCACGAGAAACGGCGTCATAGCTAAAGATGTTTGACGTCATTCGACAAAATATGGTTTCGCTGCTGTTGCGATTTGCTGTCCTTTCAGGTAAACACTAACATTCGTCTCTGTATGTAGACATCTTCTTCGGTAATAAATAGAACATTATATTCGTGATCAAGTCATATTCTGTTTACGACACTCGTGCCTTAATTCAGGTATTTAGACACTTGTGTCGTAAACATATACTCAACAACAAAAGTTCCTGTGACACCAATATTTTAGTGTGTTTTTCAAACAAGTAAAGTTTGGTTTTCAATATTGTAGTACATGTATGGAATCAAGTCACAAACACGTAACTGCCACAGAAAAGCATGCATTCCTTGCAAAAGTTGACTTTTATGCAAGCCCCATGCATTTCACTACCCAAGAATGGGTATAAAAACATGTGCGTTAACGGAATTCCATATGCATTGTTTAGCATCGTGCTGACAACAACCACTCAGAAAAACAACAAACTTACGCAATTATTCAACATTACGAAATGTCACGCCTGTCCGAAAATGAGCGTCTGCAAGCAATTGGTATGCATGAAGCAGGATCGAGTCAACGTGATGTTGCAAGACAATTTAACGTCCACAGAAACACCATTTGGTGTTAATGGCAACATTGGCAACAGACGAATGCAGCCAGAGACCATCTTCGGAATGGCAGGCCACGCGTAACCAATAATCGACAAGACAACTGGATTCGAACAACACACCTACGAAATCGATTCCAGCCAGCAACAGTGACTGCAAGAAGCATCCCTGGCCTTCAACGAATATCTTCACAAACCGTACGGCGTCGCCTCAGATGTGCAGGGATTGTCGCCAGAAGACCCGCCAGACGTCCCATTTTGACAGGAAACCACCGTCAAGCACGTCTACAGTGATGCAGACAGCGTCTACGCTGGACGGCCATGCAGTGGGGACAAGTTCTATTCACTGACGAGACTCGTTTTCAGCTCGGCCAAAGCGATGGACGGATTCGAGTGTACCGACGTCGAGGTGAACGTAACGTCAATCATTGTGTCATGGAAGAAGATCGGTTCGGGGGCGGCAGCGTTATGGTATGGGGTGGGATAACAGCACGATAGAGGACCCGTATGATAGTGGTAGAGGGAAATCTCAATGGACAGCGCTACCGCGACGAGATCATCGGCCCTGTTGTTCTACTGTTTTTGCGTCGTCATGGCCCAGGCATTACCTTTCAACATGACAACGCCCGGCCTCATATTGCTCAACTTGTTCAGGATTCAATAAAACAACGTGAATGTCATCCTCTGGCCGGCTCGCTCCCCTGATCTCTCACCAATCGAGCACATGTGGGATGAGATGGATCGGCGCCTTCGATGTCAACCACGTGTTCCACAGACACTCCAGGAACATCGAAACATGCACCAGCAGATATGGACAGATATCCCACAGGACTTTGTGCGACGCCTTGTCAATTCAATGAGATGAAGATGTGTTGCTTGCATCGCAACCAGAGGTGGACACACACGCTAGTGATTTGTAAAATTTAAGTGACATTTTGGCATGTTCATGGGTTTTTTTTATGAAATCACGCATTATCTGAAGTCAGTATGGCAAATTAAAACATTTGAGCACATACAGGAGTCTTTTATCTGTTGCAAACCGAAATTGTTTCAGATTTGGTAAAAAACATAACTTTGCATTAAATCTTATTCAATGTCACAGGAACTTTTGTTGTTCAGTATAGTATGACATTAACACTCATATAAGATCCTCTATGTAAGTGACAGATGCTGCAAGATCACACATCGCCGCCCTCGATACATGTCCAGTTATGTTGTATTGTCAGAGACAATCAAGAAGAGGAAAAGGACATGGCTGTCATCTGTTATCATTTGTTATCATGTTATCATGTGTTATCGTGTGATCATGTTTTATCATGTGTGAACATGTGTAATGTGATATCGTGTGTGATCATGTTTTATCATGTGTGAACATGTGTAATGTGATATCGTGTGTGATCATGTTTTATCATGTGTGAACATGTGTAATGTGATATCGTGTGTGATCATGTTTTATCGTGTATGAACATGTGTAATGTGATATCGTGTGTGATTATGTGTTATCGTGTAGGAACATGTGTAATGTGATATCGTGTGTGATCATGTTTTATCGTGTATGAACATGTGTAATGTGATATCGTGTGTGATTATGTGTTATCGTGTATGAACATGTGTAATGTGATATCGTGTGTGATCATGTTTTATCGTGTATGAACATGTGTAATGTGATATCGTGTGTGATTATGTGTTATCGTGTATGAACATGTGTTATCATGTGTGATCATGTCATCATGTGTGATTATGTGTTATCGTGTGTGATCATGTGTTATCGTGTATGATCATATGTTATCATGTGTTATCGTGCATATCATTTGTTATCATGTGTGAACATGTGTTATCATGTGTTATCATGTGATCGCGGGTTGCGATTGATGTTTATCTTCTATGTTTAGAAGAAGAGGTTGGGGCTTGGTAGGATCATGTTTATTTGATATTAACCTTTTTTTTTGCAACGCCGCATAAGCAATATAGCAATATTCTAGCTATATGACGGCGGCCTGGAACAAACAATCCAGTGATTGCTATAACGTGCAGCGATCCACGGCGTCAGGGTACGAAGACACGCAATCAACGCTGTCACTGAGGCTGACCATGCGATCCATCAAGTTGCCTCGTGCACCAGTCCAGGTGGCCGGGGATCTACTATAACCCGTCTCCCCACGGGGGGAGGGGGGGGGGGGGGGGGGGGGGGGGGGGTGGTTTCTATTGTCGATAAAACACATAATCAGGCTCAGTAATCAAGTTATATTTTGCTCTACTTTTGGATGAAGATACAATATTGTCCTGCGGCAGCCGTGTAAAGATAAAGTCGCCTTTGCTTTCAATTTTAGGCCACAGACCGTGAAACAAATTAAATACTAATATCAAAATTTGATTTCTTTTTTTCTCCGTCCACTGTACTGTGGGTAGTTATGCAATATTATTTCCACAATGTGTGGTGAAACGTTTGACATTGACGTTGTTTGATTTAACAAAAGAACGATTTTTTTAAAAATGTCAAAAAGTAATATAAATAATAAGATGATTGTTTTATCTTATTATGTCAGCACGTGTAGACATTACACGTAGTGTTGGTGTAGTTGCATAGTTGAGTGGAGGGAACATTTGAATATCAAGGTGAAGGTTAAACTACTGCGTGTGTGGTAGTCCTTGTACAGACAACGCTGCCCAACCCTCACAAGGAAACCAATAACAATAAACAAAGTGCATTTACCTCAACACACCCGTATCTCTGTGTACCGAAAAGAGCTGTAAAATAATTCAATAAACATGACTTGTGTGCTTGACGATCCAATAACAGGTGAACAATGTAAAATTGTCGACCAGCAGCTCGGGGGCTTACCTCTTCACATCAAACTGCAATAATTTCAAAATTAATACAGTAAACTACAGTTATAACGAACACGATGTATATATGCTTCATACGGTTATAACGAACTAAAATTAGTAGTCCCTTTGAGTTCGTTGTAACCGTACTTTACTGTAGATTCTTATTTGGGTGTTCGTTACGGTTGTATAGAATCATATAGCGTTTTGCACACTCGTCCAACTGGGTTCAAAACCAACACACCCATTTATTGTGGTTTTGCCGTATGTAATAGTGTTTTTTCTCAAAAATATTTCCCCACAAATATATATTTGCCAGTTGTCAGTTGTGTATAAATATCGCAGCTTCAGCTAAGTGAGATAGTCTTGTTTTATCGCCCCTTTAATTATATATCACGTCGTGTCAGGAGGTTAATGCTTGACTTGGTAATCGCAGACAGATAACAGCGGTTGACAACGACCCGAGCGTCAATATATCTGTTACATCCCCCTTTAATTATCGATCTTGTCATATTACTTTCAGTTTATATTTCAATTAAAGTAATGTCTTTACTGAAAATGATCTCCGACCAAGGTTCAAATCGGAATCTCGGAATCGGACCCATGAG